ACAGTCCTAGGTATGTGGATTGCCTTGTAATTTGACAAGATGTCCTAGATTCAACAACCAATTGTTTGGGGAGTTAGTGATGTAACATGCGAGGTAAACATTAAAGGGGCACTGATCTAACGCAATTCCCCGGACTGGTTGTTGCCTTTGTCATTGTTTTTCCCCCCGAGAGTACCCGGATGATACGCAACGCAACTGAGCGTGACCAGAGACTGGGCTACCGTCTGCAAGGACAGCTAAATACACTTGGAGGCCGGAGGCAATATTTGTTTTACGATTTTTTGCATAAACACTGATTGGTTAACTGTGATCTATAAAGATTTCGACAAAGGGCGCATGTAAATTAATTTCTTCAGCCTAAACAAACAAAAAGAAAGGCGGAGCTCATCGGATTTGGAAATACCCCAGATGGTTATAGTTTAATACTAAAAAAAAGTATCTATGCAGTGAAAGCATTTTCGAATTTCGGATTGCGTCGATAATACGACTACTACTCCCTTGTTGTAATTCACGTTTTCTGGTATAACCCTACACTTGTGTATTTGTCGTCATTCACTTGATGCTCAGTTAATGAATTTATTACAGGTACAATTAGTGGTAGCACCACTTAGATTACCTGACAAAGGTTCCCATTTGGCATTTATTGTGTCTGGGGTAATTATTCAATCTAAATCCAGGTTTGAAGTGAGGTGAAATGTGTGTTATGTAATATGCATGCGGCAGACCAGCAAGAGGTGAATGATCAATTGATTTACTTTTTTTTGTAAATCAACGGATCGTTCCAAGTCATCAAAGGATTAACAGAAAATACGTTGATTGATTAATTACTGTTATCTTGCACAGTGGATATGTCAAAAGTGAGTGTTTACATGTCTAGGTTTACTAAAACAAAGGGAATACACTCATATCATGGCGTGAAGTGCCGATGTAAAAACAACATACTTTGTTCAAAGGGTTAACTGATAATACGTTGATTGATTGATCATTGTTATCTATCACTCAATGGATTTTTTAGGAACCGTGGACGTTATGAAAATAGTTGTCACGTGGGCTTTCTCAGCCGACCCTTGAGACTTGACACCTATGTGAACGCCTGAAACAATCCAAGTGATCAGTTGAGAAACGAACACAGGTTATAATATCCCGAAACGATATATATCTTTTAATATATTTGATTGTTACAGAGACACGTGACATCAAATAAGTTTCTTTGTACAGCTGCACACGAGTGGGATATTGTTCCTTTGTGTGGATATTAACGGATACATTCCTCGAACAAGGAAGCTACTAAAATTTATACACATAAATTTGGTAGGTTGCAATTATGGTATTTGCATTTTGTTTTCCTTCATTTGAACCGATTCGTTCTTGTTTCTGAACGTCTTGGTTGGGAAATTCTTCAATGCACGATAGATGTTGTTTTCACAGGTCTTTCCCTTTGTAAGCGTGTATATATTACCGTCAATTTGTAAAATGTGATTCTCTCAGGCAATTATAAAATGTGTAAATATTTCAGTCATTTTGACTAAAAAATCTGTCCAGATTGATTAAGATTATCAAAAGGGCCTACAAACATCACAACAGACTATTATGTAGGATTAGAAGCCAAACAACATAGAAATGTACTTTTCAACGTAACATTTTCAGTCTCTTGGTGGTGACATTAAACATCAAAAATTTGACATGTACAAATGCCTGATTTAAAAAAAATAAATTCCCTTTACAATATAAAGTTTTAGACTTCTGACTTAATCAAATACATAAATATGGCTAAAATAAGTGAAAATAGCTGATTTCTTAAACTTCAAATGAAACTCTAACTATGAGCAAGTCCCTGATCGAAAATGAATCTTTTATCATATGTTTGAACTGTTTTTATTTGCATCTATGAAAATCAGCTTGGTCAAATTGAAAGTGTTATTAGAAGGATAGTTGTGGAAGCATTGGTTATGTTGGTATCTCTCACCACAACCTCTGGGGGCCCAGTGGCCCAGTCGTCTAAGGTGCTGCAATTCGCTGTGCAGAGTTGCGTCCCTTGGCTATGCCAGAAACCTAGGATTGTGGGTTCGAATCCCGGTTCGCCCCAATTATGTTTCTAGGTTTGTCAGCACCATGCCCATGCTCGTGGGTTTCACCGAAGTGGTAAACGTTTAAGACTTGCATCACTTAGGGCTTTCCTCCCACAATAAGCTGACACACCTTGATATAACTGCAATATTGTTAAAAGCGGCGCCAAACCCAACTCACTCACAACCTCTCCTGCATATATTAGTTGCATTAGCTGCTACATGCATAGGGACAGAGTGAGTGAAGTTTTACACTTATATTAGAATGAACAATGAGAAGTTGTTTCACTTTTACACATAGCACAAATCACTGGTTTCAGCCTCAAAGCGATAGAGCACTTTTTAAAGGAGGACTAGGCTTGGGCTATTTGGTGGGCCCAGCACTTGATTTAAGTCCCTCAAACACAACTGTGTCTGTTGGTTCAGATTGTATTTTGTATGTCATTCTAACAGTTAAGGATTATCCTTCAGACACTGTATTTTAAAAAAAAAGTTTTTAGTTATAATGTTCAGAACTAGTCAGAAAATGTCCACAAGACTGGAGAGACTAGCCCCCTTGTAGCATCAAGTCCTGCCCTCCTGGGTTTCCTCCACAGCAACAATAAGCATGATAAGTGTGAAAGACAAGATGTACCATCAGTGACTGTCTGGCAACAGCTGCACTGAGAGTATGTGACATGCAGGCAGAGATAGGGAGATATCATCTTGCTGTGACTAATGTGTGCTGTACAGCAGGTGCTTGTTCTCCCTTTGTCAACTCTCTCTCATTTCCATACACACAATGCTGTACAGCTGACCATTGTCTCCACGTGGACTCATTGAGATGCATGGAGTCTCATCAAACTGGGGGATTGATTTGTACCTTTTGTTTATTGATATTTGTATTCAGGTTGATTAGAAAGAAAATTGTAGAATTATTAGAAAGGATCCTGTGATGATTTCAATAAATAGAAACCCCACTTACTCATAAACTCAAATGTCGACCATGTTTTAGTGGCCAGTGTCTGTGTTTCAGAATAAAGTGTAAACCATATTTTTCTGTTTGTGATGTTAAGAGGTTGCAGGGTGCCTCTGAATAGTTTCGTGTTTGTAATTTTTTACAGTTTTATTTGTTCTGTTACTTCCAATAGGAGCCATTAGTTTATGCTGTGTACATGAAAACCATTTACCATTAACTGATACAAAGTTCTATTAATATTTAAGAATTAATAGGATGATGTTGTTAACATCATCATTGTTGGGGGTATTATTAGTATAAGTATTATTTCAGGAAACCCTCACACCACTATGTTTTAGATAAGAAATAAAGATAATGAAACCAGGCTGCCTTAGATACCACTTTGTTACCAGTCAGCAAGAGTGACTTAGGTTCATGCTGAAATACATGATTTGTAATAAAGTGGTTTCTGATAGGAATGGTTATTAATATTTATTCCCAACATAATTTTGCTTATTTCCTAATTAGGCATTGTAAATTGTGAAAGGGTGATATGTCAAGTCAACATTTATTGATTCAGCTGATTTTTGACTTCGATAATAAATCTTTATTTAGAACATATCGACATTCAAAGCAAAAAACTTGCATTATGACCTTGTGTAATTGTAGGTCAAACCCAAAGGTCAGAGCAGGTTAAGGATTTTGACAGGAAAGTTATTTTATATAATATAACTTTATGTTTATTGAACAGTGATTCTGTCAATGGGTGAGTAAAATAGGTCCTGATTTTGTTTTTTGTCAGCCAATATATACCCATTACTGAACCATCAAATACATATGCTTGCCATTATTTATGGACATATTCTAACACAGGAAATTCTTGTCTTACTGTACAGGGTGCATCCACTGTCTTTTTTCTGGAAATTTTCTTTCAAAGTGTTACTATTTATTTTTTTCTCATAAACATTTTGGTTTTCATCGGCCAAGTGTATCAGGCTAATAGAGAATGTGTAATATTAAAGGTTCAAGGTAGTGGTTAAGGTTGCACCATATTTTATATTGCACTTAGTCCCTTGTTTAGCTTTTCAAAAGGTCTGTATAATGCTGAAATTAGATTGGTTTGATGGTTGAAACATATAGCTTTTAGTTTGTTCACTATGCATAACATGTACACTTAAGATGTGGGCCTTAATGGGGTCTGTCTATGATGTGTTGCCCGGTCACATCATGTATATGATGTCTACCCCAGTCACATGAGTGAGTTCATATGTAACAGCAGTATCGACAATATCACTGTCATATTTCAACCATCAAAGTAGATGAAGCTGGTGCAGTTTTCCTAACAGTTAATCGATCTCATTAAGATCCAATCTTACTTCTCTTTACTGCTGAACAAAGACCGAGGACATACCATTAGAGCGACCTTTCTTCCGACCAATAAGAACATCGCTTACCAGATCTGGAAAGTGACATTCGGAATGTGTTTTCTAATCAAGCAGCCTGGAAAAGGTTAAAACAGTAACAGACTTTACAACTGAAGCTGTCAAAATCATTGTATATCCGTCTCTTCAATGGAATATACATATGAATGGAAATGACATTGCATAGCCCATGGGAAGTCCTGCCGTATGATCTCAGTCATATATTATACATTCCAGAATATTCTTTTGTTCAGTTTTCAAATTTTTGAATGGAGAACTTTATCAAAATATATTTCAAAGCATAGTCTGGAATGAAAGTCACCTGTTTGAAACTAGTGCTGTATGGCTCGAGAAAGCTGCTCTCTGATTGACTAATGTAGACTTTCTTAGTCATTTCATTGGTCGGTCAAAGTTCGTAATAGGTAGTTCGCACATGACCTGTAATGGGATGTCTTCAGATCTTTGTTTAGCGGTAGCGAGAACTAAGATGTAATTTTAATGAGATTGATGGTTAATAAAATATATATTTGGAAGTAATATTTGTAAATAAGTATAAAAGTGTATGTGATGTTGCAGGTCAACATGGCAGCTGCATTCCAACTACATCGCTGCAGTCCCTGGCGACTGCACTACGAGCCTCATCTTCTCCACAAAGCTGGTCAAAGCTGGAACCGTCACCTTCGAGTATCAGTCACCCAACCCAGACATACTGTTCCACTTCACAGTAAGTTCAGACATACTGTTCCACTTCACAGTAAGTTCAGACATACTGTTTATCTTCACAGTAAGTTCAGACATACTGTTCCACTTCACAGTAAGTCCAGACATACTGTTCTACTTTACAGTAAGTTCAGACATACTGTTCCACTTCACAGTAAGTTCAGACATACTAATCCACTTCACAGTAAGTTCAAACAGACTGTTTCACGTCACAGTCAGTTCAGACACACTGTTTCACATCATAGTCAGTTCAGATACACTGTCCCTCTTCACTGACTGTTTAGACACACTATCCCACTTCACCGTCAGTTCAGACACTTTATTTCACTTCACAGTCACTTCAGACACTTTGTTTCACTTCACAGTCAGTTCAGACACTTTGTTTCACTTCACAGTCAGTTCAGACACTTTGTTCCACTTCACAGTCAGTTCAGACACTTTGTTCCACTTCACAGTCAGTTCAGACACTTGTTTCACTTCACAGTCAGTTCGGACACTTTGTTCCACTTCACAGTCAGTTCAGACACACTGTTTCACATCACAGTCAGTTCTGACACACTGTTTCACATCACAGTCAGTTCAGACACTTGTTTCACTTCACAGTCAGTTCGGACACTTTGTTCCACTTCACAGTCAGTTCAGACACACTGTTTCACATCACAGTCAGTTCTGACACACTGTTTCACATCACAGTCAGTTCAAACACACTGTTTCACGTCACAGTCAGTTCAGACACACTGTTTCACATCATAGTCAGTTCAGATACACTGTCCCTCTTCACTGACTGTTTAGACACACTATCCCACTTCACTGTCAGTTCAGACACTTTATTTCACTTCACAGTCACTTCAGACACTTTGTTTCACTTCACAGTCAGTTCAGACACTTTGTTCCACTTCACAGTCAGTTCAGACACTTTGTTTCACTTCACAGTCAGTTCAGACACTTTGTTCCACTTCACAGTCAGTTCAGACACTTTGTTCCACTTCACAGTCAGTTCAGACACTTGTTTCACTTCACAGTCAGTTCGGACACTTTGTTCCACTTCACAGTCAGTTCAGACACACTGTTTCACATCACAGTCAGTTCAGACACACTGTTTCACATCACAGTCAGTTCTGACACACTGTTTCACATCACAGTCAGTTCAGACACACTGTTTCACATCATAGTAAATTCAGACATACTGTTTCACTACACTGTCAGTTCTGACACACTGTTTCACATCACAGTCAGTTCAGACACACTGTTTCACATCATAGTAAATTCAGATACACAGTTCCAATTGATGGTGAGTTCAGACACAGTTTCACTTGATGGTGAGTTCAGACACACTGTTTCACTTGATGGTGAGTTCAGACACACTGTTCAACTAAACAGTCAGTTCAGACAGTTCTTGCCTTTGCCTGTTCTGACTTATTTGTGTTTTGATTTCCAGTACTTTGAAAACTTGACACAAATAGGGGAAAAGCAATATGCAGTGAAAGGTCTTGTGCATGAAATTCGGCAGTAAGTCAAATAAATACTTATTTAATTCCTCTATATGTCACTCTTATTACTGACTTTGCCATCCTTGGTACAATTCAAACTGAAAGAACACGCTTACTGTGTCATTATTCATCTAAAAAAAGAGGCAAACAAAATGGACACAATATATTCATTCTCTAATTTCTATATGCCAAGTTAAAATCAAAATCATTCTCAACATGATTGAGAGTGATTCTGGTGATATCACCCCTGCTGCCCTCTATTAGAGAAAGTAACCATTTTTTTAGATCCATGCTGGTAACGGAATCCCTAGCTAACAGATCAACAAAATGTTGATGTATAATTAAATGTTTGTCTTGTTCGTGGGCATATTGATACATTGTAAAACTACATCAGAAATAACGACTTCTTCAGTTGCTGATGTGTTCCTGGACAGATGGGAGTGACAGCCTCATGAATCTTCACTCTTTGTAATTTAGATTTGGATTCCATTGTGAACATAAAACAGTCAGAAACTACTGAACTTTAAATTTGTGCAATCCTTCACATTCATATCTGCGTCATCATTCTCAATCAATATTGGCACTCGAAGTGCTGTAAAAGTTTTGTCTTTTTTATGGAAGTTCATTTTGTTGCATGTCTAGCTATACATGTATCATCATGTAGCTGGAATATTGCTGAGTTCGAGTTGAACCACAAACAACAAACAAACATGTATTACAAAATTAAGAGTTGAAGTCAAGGTGTTCAACTTTCTGGGAGTATAAGCAAAATTGCTGATGCAACATTAAACAATATTCACTTACTCGACTGCCCACACTAATATTTTAACATCTAAGATTCTGTGTTTTGTTTTCAGTTCGAAACGTTGGTTTAGAGTAGATATATCATAGAATAAGGGAACACTATAGAATGTTTTTCACAGCACTGATCATAATATTTAACCATATTTACAAACTTGTGAAGATGGCGATTTCATGTTTTGGAAATAATACACTTTAACACGAAATATGGTAAATATTCACGTTAATTGATAGTTATAAACTTGAAATATGTGGGAAGATGTTTCTTTGCATTTTGTGTACTAAATTAATTGTATTTCTTAAGGTGGTATTTTTGTGCCGAACGAACAAATGAAACTGCATAGGCAATCGATTGTATATTTTTCCTTGCTATTTTTATAGCCTTCCACTGGACGTTTCATCAGGACCACATAATTGAATGGCTTGTCATCATGGATGTGACTTTGTGTTATTTCTTTTTATAATATCATGTGTATCTTCAGCAGATAATTAGTAGTAAGAAATACAAAATTACATTACATCTCTTTGACATGTTTGTGTAGGAGATCTCATGACCTTTGCCATGATTTATTTCCCTAGCAGATATTCAATCAAATCCAGCTTTACAAAAGTTTGAACATGGCTTAGAAAAGAAATAGAAAAAGAAATACTTTCTTTTATTCATAATACATACCGTATATCGCTGTGTATAAGGCGAGTTTTTCGTACGTAAAATGAGGGGGCTAAGAAGGGGGGTCGTCTTATACACGGAGTCGAAGATCTCACATTTTTTTCCACTGGCGATGTCAACCGGCGTCCGATAGCCAGCCCAGCATTTGACAATAAAACTTCGCATTTCGTCCTAAATAACTGTTCCAATAACTATTTCCATACATAAACATGATTTGTATCTCTTTTCCTTGAATAAAGTTTAATAATTTCTGCAAATAAGTTGAAATGACCCTCGCCTCGATGCAGATTGTCAAACCACCTGACACGGTAAAACAATCAACATCCGTGAGTAGAGAGCCGGAAGTACCGGTAATCATTTGCATATTGCACATGTGACCTAACATGTGATAACCGGTGAAGCTGAAATCAATTCCCGCTGTTTTTACAGTTGTATTAACAAGTGTTGGAGACGGTGTGTACAAGTGATTGTGGAATAAACACGCTGAATGTGAAGCAAACATAAGCCTAGTTAGTTACAACATAGTTAATTGGCGATTAAATTACTCACCATTGTCTCTTATATGTTATTACTTCATAAATGAATTTTATTTTACGGGCACCAATTTGGTGTCGTACCGTGTAAACACAAAATGGCGACGTGTGCTGGAGTTACACACGCGACCTATCATTGTAGAAAAAAAACAAAACGCAAGATAAACATATTTTTATTGCATATATAAGGTTTGTGTGCGCACTTGTGATGTCCGTGTGCGAAATACGCTACAGTCGGAAAGCGCACGTTAAATCTTCTATATCAGTCAGACTTGTGATGTGTTTCAATCCAGGTCGCCTTATACACGGAGTATAGGATTTTGGGTCGATTTTTAAGGCGTGTACAGGGGGGTCGTCTTATACGTGGGGTCGCCTTATACACAACGATATACGGTACCCATCGCCAGCTATTTCGCTGTTTCGCTTTCTCTCCAAGTGTTGAACTGTCTTAAATGAAATCCAAGGAACTGTGACCAGTGTTTGCAATTAGAGCAAGTAAAGGGTGAAAGTTTAAATTTCCTTGTCATAGTCATACTATTCAAACTACTGGCATTAGGAAGTCCTTCACCATCAATAAGTAGACTTGTATACACAAGGAACATTTATAATCACATGAAGTATTGACAGTAGCTGTCCTTAAATACAAATGTTTAACTAAATTCCCCAAGCATTCCAAGAAATTAAATATGTCTCAGCATCATCTGTTGAACGAAGCCCGGGTGATTAATATTGTGACCATGTTAACACTTGGGTGCCTAAACATCATCAGATAGACATCAGATGGTGTCTGTGGACATGTCTCATTTTGTTTCTGTTATTGTATTGTCTGTTGGAGTATTATTGAATTTCTAATACTGCTAACTGAAGATGTGATTGATGGATTGTTGTTTCTTGCAGGTCCAGAATGACCAGTGTCAGGCTATTGGGGATGAATCCAAGGGCACCTGGCCCCCCAACACAGAGGAGGGCAAGTGGAAGACTCAGACGGTAGGCTGCCCACGCTGGGGATGTGCTGGTGGAAACATGCTTGTTTGAACTTAGATATGTACCATGTATACTAGACAGAGTAGGGCCTTAGTTCCGAACAGTAATGTCAGTGAATGAAAACCTTCTAGTGTGAATATGGGTACACATGATAAAACACCGTTAACAGTTTGAAATTCTATTAACACTCAACACGCACCTTTTGGGCATAGAAATAAGCATTAGCCCAGACCACATTTGTTAATTTTTAAGGTATCTTAAAGGATGGTAGAATTTCTAATATTTTTGGGGGATGTTTCTATATGTTTTCACTTTGGGATAATAGTCTTTCTTGGTTAATTTCCATCCCTGATAAGGCATATTGGCATGGGTGATGGCATATTGATGCTGTGCAATAATCTGGCCTGATAACTACTGAGGGAATGTTACCTCACTGCTTATCACGATACGATTGCATTATACTGTTAGACCAAGCCTAAATAAACCAATCATACAAGTTAAACTCAAACAAGTAGATCGCAGCAACCTCTTGTTAGCTGGGCAGATTAACCATAGAAAATGTCACACAAAAACAGTGCAAATTATGCATCTCAATCCATATATATTATCCGTTCTGTTGTAGACATATTGAGACACCCAAGCGATAGAAACTAACAGTTTTTGTCTACTAGTCCTTATAATGATAATATATAGCAAAACCCTTAAAACAGTCCTTATGATACCTTAACTCTTGGGCAATTTGGCAAGTACTATAGGCCAATTTCTAATGCTGCACCCTGATATGTAGTTTTACAGATTTGTTTAATTATTTTTTTGAAAATCTGCAAAATATTTCCTGCTATTCTCTTAGTCTTATTTGCTTGTACTTTTAACCAGGGTATGAAGCTTTTCAGCATTCAATTGGCTGAAGTCCCATGTTGTTGATGTGGTGGGTATGACCAACATGTGCCCTTTATATCTCTAGCTTAACCTGAAGAGTGGCATGAATGTGCTCCAGTGGCGAGCACTCGGGATGAAAGAACGAACCCACAGTCGAAGTCCCATCCTCATCAGGAAGATAGAAGTCACTGGTGTGTAGCTCTCGGTGTGACATGGTACAAGTGGGGTTGCAAGCAGCGCCATAATGCACACTCTGCAACATTATATACTATTCTTAATTTTGAAGAACCTTGCAATGTGTGCAGCCTGTTTATGGTTATGATAAGTACTGCCAGATCAGTATTACGATCTATTGATGTACATCCTTAACAAATTATGAGAATCCTCACCAAAATGTCTTAATTAATTAATACAGATATTGTCATCTGTGTCATGTTTTTTACCAGACCACTCAAGGACGAAAGAGCTGTATTTGTTTCACACAATAAAATCTGACTTGATTCACATGTCCCATTGTAGAGATCTGACTTGATTCACATGTTCCATGCAGGGATCTGACTTGATTCACATGTTGCATTATGGAGATCTGAATGATTCGTACCTCCCATTGTGGAGATCTGAATGATTCACATGTCCCATTTTAGAGATCTGAATGATTCACATGTCCCATTGTAGAGATCTGAATGATTCACATGTGCCATTGTACAGATCTGAATGATTCACATGTCCCATTGTAGAGGTCAGACTTGATTCACTTGTTGCATTATGGAGATCTGAATGATTCGTACCTCCCATTGTCGAGATCTGAATGATTCACATGTCCCATTTTAGAGATCTGAATGATTCACATGTCCCATTGTAGAGATCTGAATGATTCACATGTCCCATTGTAGAGATCTGAATGATTCATATGTTCCATTGTAGATATCTGAATGATTCACATGTCCCAATGTAGAGGTCAGACTTGATTCACATGTTGCATTATGGAGATCTGGATGATTCATATGTCCCATTGTGGAAATCTGAATGATTCACATGTCGCATTGTAGAGATCTGAATGATTCACATGTTCCATTGTAGATATCTGAATGATTCACATGTGCCATTGTACAGATCTGAATGATTCACATGTCCCATTGTAGAGGTCAGACTTGATTCACATTTGGCATTATGGAGATCTGACTTGATTCACACATTGCATCATGGGGAAATGACCTGTACCTGACTGCCTGCAGGTGTGGCGTATACGTCTGAGTGCACCAAGTGCCGAAGCGGCACCTACAGCAGCGGGGGCACTGAGTTCTGTGGGTACTGCCAGGAAAACACCTTCTCCGACCGCGGCGCTGCCCAGTGTTCCCCCTGCAACCAGGCCACAGAATACTCCAGTAAGTTCATCTTGTGCATGGTAACAAATCTTATTTCAAAAACGGAATAGCTCCAGCAGCTTTCACACTCTTGAAAATTCTGGTTTGTGGGTTTGATCAGACACTTTAAGAACTTTCTAGTTTGCTGGTTAGATGACAGGCACTTTAAGAACGTTCTTGTAGAAAACAGATGACGTGGGGATTTGTACTCAGGAATGAGGGGTTGAGTAACTAAAGTGTGTATTACACACAAGAATACTGAAACTGATGTGCATGAAATAATTGTGGTCAAATCGGCTTTTCTTGGCAATTAACTCAACTGTTTATATTCAGTGCAGCAACTTTTGTCAGCTTGCTTCTGTAAACATGGTAAATCATTGGCTGGCAATAGACAAAATAGCTTCAACATTTCAAACACTTTTCAAAACTGGAAATATCCTCTCAAATTGTCAAGATATTGATAGGGAATGTAACTTGAGCAGGAATAGGTTATTTGAATAGATATAAGATCAGTTGGTGTAATAGATATAAGATCAGTTGGTGTAAGGTAAGTGGAACATTGCTTTGCCTTGCAGCTGTAGGCGCCAGCAAGTGCGAGACCCGACCTCCATGTTCTGAGAGAGACTACTATGAATACCAAACTCCATGTGATGAGAACAAACAGGTGAGGCTAAGCTGGCCCAAAGCTGTACTACCAATACTTACTTATTCTTGAGCTAGATTGTTCATTCAGGAAACATTATTTATGTAGTGCTATATATGTTACAGTCAATGAGTAAAATGGGATTCACTTCTGCAATTTATATAATGCCTAAATATTTTAGTCATTTTATTAATTGACTGAACAATATGTCTATTTATTTGACAGATTGACTAAGAATTATTATAAAGTTCCAAAGGGCTTCAAAACATTACAATAGACTAATTATGTGAGGACTAGAAGCCTGAAAAATATACTTTGACTTTTGTTTTCTCTTAATCCTATCATTTCCAGTAACAGGGTGATGAAATTCAACATCAAAATGTTTGGAATTTGTTATCATAATAAAATATATTGACATATTTTTCAGTCAATTTGGGATGTTGCTCTTAATATGGTTTGTCTGGTCAGACTTGTTATTTTTAAGTCACCATCATAGATCTAGAATATTGTTGCACCAGAGTGTGGCTCACATAGTTTAACACTGACTAGTTTAATGCTAATGGCGCTTTGTGCAATTGGGTCATGGTCAGCAACCTTGATAATGCTAAAATATACAACAACATACCTGCACCCCTACCCTCTATCTATTTCCAGACGCGCAAGGAGTATGCGTGGATCTCCCCCCAGATCTGCAACCCAGCGGGTACTGGTGCTGTGACCCTACCCCCACAAGGGCCCTTGGACAACTGCCCTCCCTGTAATCCGGGCATGCAGCTGTTCAACAACTCGGCCTGTGAGTTCTGTCCAGCAAACCAGTTCTCGGACGGCTCCAAGCCCTGTGAGACGTGCCCTGCATCCACCTCCCCCGAGTACAGCCTGGACTACAGGTGGTGGTCCGTCATGCCGCCCAATGTCTCCAGTGACTGTCTCTCCATGACAGGTAGGCAGGGGAGATTATTCTTTCCCCTATCATGTCTTTGACTATTGCTGTTGAAATATGTATAAGGCAGACAAAAGGACAGTTGTTTTCCGTTACTGTATTTTACTTATGTGATCTATCAATTGAAATGACAGTTTGTTCCATCATTGACATGGGGAAAAAGTAAGGCAGGTGCTTGAATTTTTCTCATGTAGTATTTGAATCTTAGGTACCCCCTAAATATTTATTTTTAATAACATAGTATATGACAAGAATTACTTGACTTTCATGATAAATATTGAACACTGATTGATGTAATGACCTTTTGTAATTTTTGGAAAGGTTCAGAGAGTGACACGTGTGTCGCTGTATAAGTGCAACAATCTGGAAAGCGACGTTAAACCCCATGTTACCTCACTGCCAGCAGATCTTGAGCATCATGCTTGTCATAACAAGTGATTACTGTGTGTGACATGGCTGATTGACCTGGATCATTGCTCATGCTCATAAATGGTGTGAGTCCACATGGGTAATTGTGATTCTGCATGCTACAGATGGTATTTTGCTGACAGTGGTGTAAAAGAACATTCACTCACTCACTACAGTTAAGCTTCATTATAGCTAAAATGGATAGAATTATCATTAAAACGCCCGCATGTTATCAGGAATGCACGGGCCACTGTAACTTGATAATGCCCTCATATTACTTGACGACGGGCCATTATCACGCCCGTTGTAAGGTGACGTCATAGGATAGGGATACGTGACGTCACATTCAATAGTGACGTCATCTGGTTTGTTCTACGACATTTCCATATTTGTAAAAGTGGGTCAGTGTCATTCATGTTGATAGCAGTAAATGTTTCAAAACCGATATTGTTGTTTCTTTTATTTGATAACAAATTCCATCCATTTTAGCTATAATAACGGTAACGCTATTTTCAGGGCATTATCATTTGCAGAAGCCCTCGGTCTTTTCAACTGCCCTCCGGGCAGTTAATGGAAGACCTCAGACTTCTGCAAATGATAATGCCCTGAAAAATAGCGTTACCCTTATAGTATTAAGAGTGTTGTATTAAATTCTTCTCCAGCTGAAACCTGTTCCCCACAAGCCGGATGGTTGGTGTCCAATGACCACATCCGCACCCACTTCAGCCATGACAAGGATGTCTTCCTCATTCTCACCATGCATATCCCCGGCTTCAGAGGCCAAGCCAACGTTATCAATGGAAAGGCAGATATTATCGGACATATCTCCTTCGGGTTTGAGATCAACTGTACAGGGGACTGTGAACTGGTGTTCTTGACTGTAAGTGAACAGGGATAAAGTTAATGTCTCCCCTTAGAGCCCAGGAGCTCTTTCCATAAAGTGATCTTAGCGCTACAAGCCCCCAAACTCTTAACATTGGATTATCATCATCATGGCACAAAAATATTTTGGTGGAAAGTTTTTACCTGCACTGGTGCAGCTTGAGTGTAGCCAAATCGATCCCTGTTAGTGCTAAAATCACTTGTTGAACAGACCCACACAACCAGATTGTGACACACACTCATGTTCATTTAGTAATGAATGTGGTTGGGATTAAAAGGAGAAAGTTAAGTACAATATACAGTAAATAACTTCAGATTGTTGGATATTATGAAGGCTACTCATTTTGGTGATCATCTTGATATGTGTTCAAGGCAGTCAGATCTCCTGTGCCTCATGCTTGTTAGGGGACTAGAGTGTTCACTGGGTGGCCCAAAGAGTTGCTGAGTTATGTCTGATTGTGTGTGATTGCATCCAAATATGGTGCTGTAATCACCACTGATTTTCTTGGATCCAGAGATTTCTGGGTCAGAATTAATCCCCAGCAAACTTGTAAGGGGTGCCTAAATGGATCTGTGGTTAGGCTCTGTGACTTAGTATATTGTTTTCATTGTATACAAAGTGCGTGTATCGATGCTCATGTCAGTCATTAGGTTGTCTGGCCCAGACTCTATTGTTTACAGACCGCCATCATATGGTAGAATGTGCTAATTGCAACGTTGAACCAGAAGCAAAACAAAAAAATCACAATGCAATCGTAGCACTAAGATTATCACAACTCTCATCCTTTGACATAAACCTAGAACAATGTTGATGTTAAGACTGCTTTGTGATATGAAATGCTAGTACAGACTGAATTACTTTTAAGTATGCAAAGTGCAAAGTTTGTTGATGTCGCCAGATATTGTAACATTAATCATGTTTTCTTGAACCTTGGTCCCTGCCTTACTGCATGATGTTTGATCAAATGTTCATGTTGGACACTCTATCTTTTTCAGGATGATAATGGGAAGAACTCAGTGGCAAAATCATGGAAGGGAAGTTATGAAAAAAATGAATATATGTAAGTAAATATATTTGGTATTCCTCTGAATGATTGGTAAATCAAAACTGAAATGCAACATGAAGTCATTTTCAGGCTTGATTAATATTTGTGTAAATATCAAATGTGATTTCTCCCTAAAAATCTTTCATGCATCCAAAGTTCTTGCACAAGTTAAACCTTTTAAACATTTAGTGGTTCATATTTAAGGACATGCGTGCACAAATAAAAAATCTCAACGTCCATATATATATATCATCTGATCTTCGACACACATACAGTATAAAGATTTCTAAGATTGCTTTGTGCACGTGAGCCCTTCACAACAACCACAACACATAGCATTGTGTGTGTTTTTTAGGGATATGGCAATATAGCTGAGCCAGGCTTGAAATGTATTTGCTCTTGTTCTTCCAGGTACCATGTCCGCAGCAACAAGTCTCTGATCGCCACCTGGGCCTTCCAGCCGTACGACTGGGAGAACCTGCCTGAAGCCAAGGCAGAGGAGTACCTCAACAACATCGCCAAGATATATTCCATCAAGGTCTCTAACACCATCTCTGGTGGCGCCTCTGAGTGTAAACCTTGTCCTAGAGGAACAACCAAAAACACGTATGTTTTGCTCTTTCTACCAAGATTTCAAAGAGCATCATATGAGTTGATCAAGGTTACAAAATTCAAGGCCCCAGTAAATCTTTCAAAAAGATTTCTTTTTATGGTAAACATGTGGAGGACATTTCCAAATTTGACACATCATTGACAAAAATTATGTCCAATGCAATTCCCTATTTTGACTTGTACCATATGTAATCATGTTTTTTAAGGGGAACAATTGACTTGCTTTTGCATGTGTTTGTGACAGGAGCCAATGATGAGGCAGGATACACTCACCTTTTCGCAAATGTCTGGTGTCATATACTATTTGATAGTGATTCATAAACACATGCTCATGATATAGTCGGAATCGTACAATCAACTCAGAGATTTCTTATGAATATGGAAAGGATTTTGCCGCTTTTATTCATCCGCATACATTGTATTTCTTGGTATCCCTGCTTTCACAATTGGAATAGGTATGTGCATGATATTTTATGATGTCTGCAATATTACCTCTGTAGACAGTAATGTGTCAGCAATGAAAGATGCCATTGAAGCAAAGAGTCAGTGTTGCATGGTGGTGATGTTACAATAATTCAAACATTTTGTCCAATATTTTCACTTATAGCAGACAAATTGCATTTAATTTTACTATTTCAGTGGACATGCATTTGGAAATATAAGTTTTCTTGATCACACTGGTTGGGAATACTATATAGGATTTGTATCATATGATAGTTGGAAGGCTGTTTGGGGATAGTGTATTCCATATTCAATGGTTATGTTCCAGGTGTATTCCGTGCCCGGATGGGCAGTACATCGACACGAGCACAGCATCGTGCAAGGCGTGCCCACCCAACACTGTAGTGTCCAGCAGTGATTCCTGGGGGGAGCAGGCCTGCAAGGTGTGTGGGTCGGGCCTGAAGGCAGAGGGGGGCAAAGTGTGCAAAACTGACTGCAAGTATGTGGCGAAGGATGGCAAGGTGTACGACTTCTCCGACCTTGACAAGTAGGTGTTAATGTTCTTATTAGGATATCAGTTCAAGATATATGTCAGATGAATGTTGGATGTATACAGATCGTAATCAGACATATAAGCAAAAATATTTTGCTGTTCGATTCGAAAGACAAGGTGTGATGTGTCCCCTTTTTGGACTACCAGATCATATAATTTAAGACATACATAACATCTCTTAGTAATTATGATGACAGGTATCTGATGTATTCAAAAGAAGGAGACTTTGTTCATTTTACATGTTGTGCACTAATTAATTACTAAATGCAGGTAAAGTTGAAAGGTGTCAAAAAGGCTGATTTCATTGAAAGAAATCTTTGGGGCACAGACTTGTTCATACCGGTAGTTAAGTTAATAAATCACTCTAGAAGTTAAAAAATCACTCATTTTTGCCTTACTCCTGTACTTGATCGTATCATACATCCAAAATATGTACCTGATATGTTTTAGAAAGAATAAAAGGACAAGTTGTCAGTCATATTCCTGACCTCAGCCTTTCATTATTCTGTGAACATGTGTAATCATTTCTGAAATAGGTGAATGATTGTTTATCCATTTCATGAACCAAAGAAAAGTAATGATTGCAAATTAAGTTTTTGAAATGAAAAGAAAAATGCCAGGATAACTAGATATTTAGATAACTAGCCTCTCAGATGTGTTTTTGTGAGACTGCCTTATGTAATCAACAATACATGAACCAGGTCAATTATAACATGTTTTGAAGATGATTCGCTGATACTGATTGTGTTGGTTGATAGTGGAGGATCATGAATTACTTATTCACCTTCTGTTTCCAGCATTCAGTTCGTGGTGGGCAACAAGTTGTTTACCTCCAGCGGTACCCAGTACTACCATGGCTTCAACATCAGCCTGTGTGGAAACAAGGGAACACAACTCCCAACATGCTACAACAACGTCACCGATCAGCCGGTTAGCACATTTACTCAAAATCCTTTCTTTATCAATATAAAACAGAAGGTGGCAATTTGAAGTTCATTTGAAAGTGAAAACTTTGAAACCTTTGAAGTGTTGAGTGACAGTTGTTACATTTCAAGAAGACCATTAATGGAATGAAATAACTTGTAGGCATTAGTGATAGTGTTAATATTTCATGACGTAGAACTTCCAATAATTGCCAGTCTTATCTGAGCCTTGTGGCAAATTAATCCTGGTTTATGCCCCATGTGCATGTACACTTTATGTTTGACACATGTTGCACTGTGTTTGATGTTTGTGGAAGCACTGTTGACATCATCTTCCCGGGACAAGGGAGTTAACTGACGATAAAAGTCCAGTTTCCACTCTTGCTGCACTAAGGCTGGAATTTCTTTGCTCGATTGTGGTGCCACCAGTGGCTATTATGAGAAATGTCCCTTCCATGTCCCTCCTATTGACCAATCAGATTCCACTTCTGATATCACTTGCAATTGCTTCATACAAAATGGCAGTGCCCACTCAAGACAATCTGATTGATCGTGTCTCATTTCATGAAGAGCATCACATCAAGTGAGCACCTTGATTAAAAACATGAAAATATTTTTGAAATATCTGTTGACGCCAAGTTGGCAGTACACATGCTTTGCAAATACTACAATCGACCGAAATCTGCACAGCACTTATGAACCGGATGCTGATTTGTTCTGTGATTTTGATTGGAATGTGCATGGAATCGTTAGTCCAGCCAAAATATAACTCCATAATTCCAGCCTGGTTCGGCAAAGGGTGGAATTTGGACTTTTATAGTCACTTAACTCCCTTGCCTTGGGAAGATGTATTGACATAATATAACTGTGAATGTTTGAAATGTCGCCAGCATGATCATCACGTGTTGCTATTACCCTACAATGTATGTCATGGTTGCAATTTACAAATGTCAAGGCCAGTTGTACCTTGTAAGCTATTTGGGAATCAATGGCTGCAGCAATATGCAGATTTCTTTATGGAAGCTTTGTGTGCAGTTGTATCAGAAACTGTGAATTATGATTTAATGTTGTCCATGGTGTAAGACATGGAGTTCTTGATCTGTAATGTTGTAGATAATGTGATGGACAGTCAGGAATGTATGTATGATTTATGGGAATGGGTAGGGGTGGGATGGAGGTTTGTGTGTGTGTGTGTGTGTGTGTGTCGTTGACATCGATCTGAAGCTCAGTCCTGATTGTGCAGTATACATCACTGTGAACTTGAAGACATACTGAGACTTCATAAATCTGTCATACATAGACTTACGGTAGTCATCTGTTTGTGCAGATGGGCCTCTAGGTCCTCAGCTGATTTATGTCTAAATGTGGTTTAGGATAATATGTGATGTGTTGATTGCACAATTGATTTTTATAATCTGTAACTGCTGTCCTAACCATCTTAGCTCACTCCAGGACACATGTAAAGTGCTTTTAAATTATGACTAAATTTAAACCTACAGGGCAACAAATCTGAAGAAGTAGAAATTTTGAGCCACGGTGGAGTATGTTCAGTTTCTACCTTAATGCTCTCTGTTCTGTGGGATGGAGCTGCGGGCTGTTGGCATATCGTCATTGCATGATGTGTGTGGTATTTGGGTACTTGGATAATTGTTTGGTTTTACTTCTTGTATTCAGATATATATTTTTTCTCCTGATTCCACTTCGGCTTTCCTCCCACATTATGCTGACATGCTGTAATTACGGTGATATAACTGGAATACTGTTCAAAGCAGCGTGAAACCCACTCACTACCTCATTTTTTCCTGATCGATGTTTGGATTGATTGGTAGAATGTCCCCAGCCAATTATGCCATGAATTATATCACCATTCTATTGTGATAAATACTATGGATCCATTTGGAAACGTAGTTTTGTTGAAGGACATGAAGCTAGAAATAGTAATCCATTGATTTTCCCTGTTCTTTCATGATTGAATTGTTTGTTTGTTGTTTAACGCCACACTCAGCAGTATTCCCGCTATATGAAGGCAGTCTGTAAATAAGTGGGTCTGGACTAGACAATCCAGTGATTAAGGTCATGAGCATCAATCCACACAATTGGGATACAATGATGTGTCAACCAAGTCAGCGAGCCAGAGCACCTGATCCCATTAGTTGCCTCTTGCAACAAGCATTGGCCTCTTTCATGGGAAGCATGGGTTGCTGAAGACACACATGCCAATATCACCATTACTCATCATTTTGACTAGCTGTTGATTTCAAGCTTATGGTGAAAGAAATTCTGTGCTCAGTTGGTGATGCGAGGGAGGAGACAATGACATCACTTCTAAAACAAAGCTTTGGTATCAAATGGGTCCAGCGTAAATATAAAAACAGAAAGGAGATAGTGGATAATTGAGGATGTTAGAATGTGAGACATGGTTGGTTGTATGTCATCATAGGTCAGATGATGATTTATAAATCGGTTCTCCAGTTTAAAAATTATAGATGGAATTCAAACAAATTTGTTTTTTTACCAGTCCATCATTAACAGTTTTTTGGCAGGTAAATTTGTGTTTGTACCTTAATTGCTATGCATAGACAGGCTATGCAATAAGATATTAGGCTTATTGCAGTTTCCTTTGTTAACCTTGTTCCCTCATATTGATTTGCTTTTGGTCAACAATATACATAGAAAGTATTGCTTGATTAGAGGCATCGTCCCTTGGGCAGGTTTGATTTATTCTTAATATTTTTTTAGTAATTTCATACAATTATTGATACATGTGGGAATACATCTATTTTGCACATAATATGATATTTGCACCCTTTTTATTTACACAACCATTGTTGTTTTCTTGCATGTTGCATGGAATATCTAACACATGGCCTCCTTGTGGGTATAACTATTGACATCCACTCAAGTTGTGGTAGTTGAATGATGTTCTGTGATACCTTCATCACAATGGCAGGTTTGAATCGACAGATATGGAGTTAAACTGCTACTAGTCCTTTTGGCCTCAACTTTGTCCTGTAGCCCAATCTTTGTCCAATAATATCTTGATCTTTGTCCAATAATATCCTGATCTTTGTCCAATAATATCCTGATCTTTGTCCAATAATATCCTGATCTTTGTCCAATAATATCTTGATCTTTGTCCAATAATATCCTGTCCTTTTGCCCCAATTATAGCTACAAGTAGTAGAAATAACAAAACCTGCTTTTGTAGTCTATGACTTAGCCACTAGTCTGAGCTTGGGTCTAGTGACATTGTTTGGTTTAGTAATCACAGCTAATAAAAGTCCATATGTGAAAACTAAAATATACAAAAACAATACTAAAAGCTGTGCTTGGGAAAGCAGACGCAAACGATTATATCAATATTCATCATCATGAGGACAAGAGACTTTAGGTGTAATTCTACACCAGTAAGGAAGACCAGATTACCTTACTGGTATGAAAGCGAAAACTAAATGCAATATTTTGGATGTGGAGTTAACAAGCATGTGGATTTCGGAGATCCTGGTTTACTACAGCTGTATGGGTTGGCCCTCTTTTCCTTTCCTTGCTTTGCACTTCATATTTCTTATGGCCAGTATTGCCCACCTAGCCATGGTTACTCATGGTATACCCCTGATTAATAAGATAGGTTTTTGTCAGTGTCATATCCATGCTAATTGGTTTCATCAGTGGGATTGACATCTACAACTTTGACTTTCGGCTTTCCTCCCACATTAAGCTGACATGCTTTTATATAATTCAGATTCTGTTCAAAGTGGCATTTAGCCAGCTCAGTCACTACAGTGTTAAATATTAAGCATGAAAGTCAAGGGGACTTTGGTATGAACATAATATCTAATGTACAAGATTAAGGTTCCATGGATCAAAACACTTTGGCAGAAAAGCTCAGGAAAACCTTAATTCCCAACACTGCACTGCTACCAGTGCATGCACATCTGGTTTTGTGTGCTGAATCTTCATGAGGCAATTTCTGCTGATGATCTTTTCACGCTTACAGTGTGATTAATACATTCCAATGTTTGCTTGATCCTCTGTAGAGTATTAACACTGTGATGCTATGATTTCAGACTTATGGACTGCCAACAGATGTTCGGGGTATGGTTTGCCGGTCCACGTTGGTACCCCAGAGGGATGCAGAAGCACCCGTTGTCTCCACTCAGCCAGTGAGGTGAGTTGGGGTTGCCAGCAGGGAGGTGGGTGGGAGGTTGGTGGGGTACCCCCAGAGGGATGCAGAAGCACCTGTCGTCTCCACCCAGCCGGTGAGTTGGGGTGGCTGGCAGAGAGGTGGGTGGGGTACCCCCAGAGGGATGCAGAAGCACCTGCTGTCTCCACTCAGCCAGTGAGGTGAGTTGGGGTTGCCAGCAGGGAGGTGGGTGGGAGGTTGGTGGGGTACCCCCAGAGGGATGCAGAAGCACCTGTTGTCTCCACCCAGCCAGTGAGGTGAGTTGGGTGGATGGCAGGGAGGTGGGTGGGGTACCCCCAGAGGGATGCAGAAGCACCTGTTGTCTCCACCCAGCCGGTGAGTTGGGGTGGCTGGCAGGGAGGTGGGTGGGGTACCCCCAGAGGGATGCAGAAGCACCTGTTGTCTCCACCCAGCCAGTGAGGTGAGTTGGGTGGACGGCAGGGAGCTGGGTGGGGTACCCCCAGAGGGATGCAGAAGCACCTGTTGTCTCCACCCAGCCAGTCAGGTTAGTTGGGGTGGCCGGCAGGGAGCTGGGTGGTGTACCCCCAGAGGGATGCAGAAGCACCCGTTGTCTCCACCCAGCCAGTCAGGTGAGTTGGGGTGGCCGGCAGGGAGGTGGGTGGGGTACCCCCAGAGGGATGCAGAAGCACCCGTTGTCTCCACCCAGCCAGTGAGGTGAGTTGGTCTGGCCGGCAGGGAGGTGGGTGAGGTACCCTCAGAGGGATGCAGAAGCACCTGTTGTCTGAGGTGAGTTGGGGTGTCCGACAGGGTTTCACCGAAGTGGTAAACGTCTCAGACCTGCATCACTTCGGGCTTTCCTCCCACATTAAGCTGACATGCCGTAATATGACTGGGATAAAAGCGGGCGTTAAACCCAACTCACTCACTCACTCACTTTACTTCTTCTGAGTGGCATATTTCAAGACATTAATTTGGCTCCTTTTGAACAATTTAAGAATTGTTTCCTGGACATGTAAGAGATCAGTGCACCAGCATAAGTTTCCGTCTCATAGCAACTTTCCTATTCTGACTGCAAGCTGGAGGTATATGGCCCAGATTGATATGGTGTTATGGTTTCAGTCTTGGAGACCACCTGGTGAAGATTGTGTCCAATGACAGCAGCATGGGGGACCTCTTCAAGGAGGAGGGTTTCTCCGCCACACCTGAAGGTCAGTCACATGATTCATCTTATACTATAGTCTGTGACAAAAACATTGGAGTCTGCTAGACAGAGATTGTCTTTAACAGACTAATAATCTTTATTCTCAGGCACTTTCTTCATGAGAAAACATATTTCTTGATGTCATTTTGTATCAGCTTGAAGACCACAAATCTCTATTGTTGCACCCCTAAGTACAACTGGCTGTGGCAAACTGAATAGAAATCGTTTTTAAAGAGTCTTTGCTTGAGAACCTTACGCCTCAGAAGTTGAATGTCAAATGATTTTAAAAAGGTTTCCATCAGTTTTGTTAGGGTTTTTTGTTTCATGAAATTAAATTCATTTACTGGTAGATATGATTATGATTATGTATATGTCTGTGCTGAGCTAGAAACTAAAATATCTTTTGTCATAAAAAATATATGCAAATATTCATGAATATTGTGTCTTATTTTTCAGAATTACAAAAGGATATTCATTTTCACTACAAGTCTGAACAGTAAGTAGATTAGAAATGCTAATTAGTTGAAACTACAGTGGTCCCTCGCTACAACGCTACCAATGGGGTCAAAATAATTGGTGGGCGTTATAGACGATGAGCCGTTTAACCGAGGCCGAGGCGGGGGAGCGCGCTCGGCAAATCTCAAATCATCAATGTGTTTATCTCACGTCACTTCAAAATAGTATATATTTTTTATGGACCTAAATCTACCTGTAATATCATTCATTTATTAAATCTGTCACATTTCACAATGTCTGAAATACGTATTCCATTTCAATTTATCATTTTTTATCGATAAATTAAAAAATTATTCACTATTTCCCGCGATGTTATTGAAAATAAAATTCTCGGACACACATTTCGACAATGGGTCCGCATCGAACATGTCAAAGAGCAAAATAAAGATGTTTTAAGCAAATCTTTAAATATATTATACAAAGTGATAAATAAAATCAACAAAAATATATCTAAAAGTAATCAAACTTACATCTAAGTTATTATTTCCATCGTTTCGTGCGATCGCGTGTAATGTAAGTCAAATAACATCTCGGCTTTCGTCGCCTTGAATTCTCGGCTCTGACACAACGTTTAATGCAAAAATATATGCATGAAAAATCTTTGTCACAGCTCGTAACCTAGCACGATACATTCGCGAATTTTTAATATATATCGTGATTTCCTGCTTAAAACGTTCAGAATAACACGATTTAACAAAAAATCTTTCGCCAACTTCTGAAATTTATCAAACACGAGCTTGGTATCACAGCTATAATTTGATTGGCTGCCTGAGGTCACATGCTCAAAATTGACCAATCACGAAACTTGTAGCAGATTTCGGCAAGAAAGCGTCATTAGAAACAAATTTTAATCCAATGAAATCGCTTGTTATAACTACGGAAAAAAACCAGGCGATGTTACGAAAGCGCGATTACGAAATGAATGACCGCCATATTGTGACAGCAACTACATGTGTGTGACAGTGTCGCCTCAGATTGGATTGCCCACTAATTAAGAATATAAACTTCGCTTGTGATTCTCTTTTATTGCATGCATGCGCTTCTAAGATCAAACGATGTATAGTGTGAAAAGTTAACTAGTTGAACAATCGTATTTACGGGACTTGCCGCGGATGTTTTCAAACAGATTATTAGAACTCCATTCAGCGATAAACGGTTGATTATGCAATGAGAAGCGTTATGTGCAAATGAACAACGAACAACAATACAATTATGTCTGTGTAAAACTCTCAGTAATAAAAGTGTACATAAATTTTGGGAGCCATGCGTTACCGCGCGTATGGACTAGAGCAAAACAGGGCAGTTGGGTAGCCTAGTGATAAAAAGCTTTCACTCTTGACTATGAAGTCCTCATATCATTCACCCAGTAGGGAATCTAGGTTAGAATTGATCTCCAGTAATCTATGCTCGTCGTACATGCTTGACTTAGTGGATTGTGTGGTCAGGCTTGAGGACTTCTTTCATTGCATGTCATTGTACTCTGACAACGTGTAATGTTGCATATGATAGTAGTAGCTGTAGTAGTTGGAATATTGCTGACTGAAGCATAAAACAACATTCACTCACCAAATATGACTCCACACATAACAACTGTAAAGCCAATTCTTGTTGCCCTATGTTCTTGTTGCTATGAGTTTCAGCTATTAGAGCCGACAGACACACTGTCCCTCTGTGGGGATTCAGGGTTAGAATTGGTCCCATGCAACCTATGCTTGGTGACTTGCTTGACTGTGTTTCACTGTACCAAGAAAGCGATCATTGCCCATTATATATATCAATCACTGGAGCGTTTGGTCCATATTTGATTATTAGCAGGCCGCTGTCATATACTACTAAAAAAAAGTTGAGGACAACGCGATCTTTTCATGTTACTATGACATTAACTGCAGTATTAGGAAAGAATCAGGTTGTCCTTAACTTCTTTTTGAGTTGTACAACTGTAATATATTTCTGAGTAACTAAACAAACAAATGTTATCGTCCCTTGTTCTTTTTGCTGTGGTATGCAGTGAAAGAACGGCCAGACTCTTATTGTGGCCCTTGTTCCCAGGTCAACCCCAGCCTGCCCCGAGGGACGCACCACCATCATCAGCCTGAGATGTGACGTGAAGCAGGACCTCCAGGGCGTCATTGACCTGCCCCCCAAATGTTCCGATGGCACCTGCGATGGCTGCACCTTCCATTTCCTGTGGAAGAGTCAGCATGCTTGCCCCATCTGTCGGAACGAAGACTATGAAGTGATCAACGGGGAATGTATTCGGGGAGAACAGACTATACATTACTATCCTCCAAAGTGAGTCTTCCACTGGAAATATCTTGTGTACAGGGATTATCTAGACCTGATCAGAGGCTGAGATTCAGCCCCATCTGCAGCAAATGTCAGTAAGAATACCCACAAGGAATAACTAATGTTATGGCTTTGCAGAGGTCACTGATAACAGATGAAGGAGGCTTATAAGATCTTGAAAAAAACATATATGCTGTTTTAGTAGTCCTACATTTTCCTAAGTGATCCAGTTTGAATGTCAACAATGAGCCAGTTCTGTGATAAACTCTGTATGTGCAGACACTGCCTGCTGAGTGACTCCCATAAGCCCAAACAGATGAAGCAGAAGTGTACCACCATGCCATTTGCCGTGAGTATATCACTGATATATCGGAGTCTCAGATGTGGTACAACCATGCTATTTGCTGTTGAGTATATACCTGATATATCGGAGTCTCTGATGTGGTACCACCATGCCATTTGCCGTGAGTATATCACTGATATATCGGAGTCTCAGATGTGGTACAACCATGCTATTTGCTGTTGAGTATATACCTGATATATCGGAGTCTCTGATGTGGTACCACCATGCCATTTGCCATGAGTATATCACTGATATATCGGAGTCTCAGATGTGGTACAACCATGCTATTTGCTGTTGAGTATATACCTGATATATCGGAGTCTCTGATGTGGTACCACCATGCCATTTGCCGTGAGTATATCACTGATATATCGGAGTCTCAGATGTGGTACAACCATGCTATTTGATGTGAGTATATCACTGATATATTGGAGTCTCTGATGTGGTTCCAGTACTAGTATTAGGCGATGCTACCATGCTGATGTGGTTCATGTTATCATGCTGATGTGTTTTTTATTACCATGCCGATGTGGTAACCATGCCAATGTGGTTCATGTTACCATGTCGATGTGGTTCATGTTACCATGTCGATGTGGTTCATGTTACCAAGTTTATGTGGTTCATGTTACCATAATGATATAGTTGATGTTACCCTGCCAATGTGTTTGCAGGTCCAGGTGGCTCTGCCAGTCGTTATCGGTGTTGGAGTGTTGCTGATGCTCCTACTTGTCTACCTGTGGAAGAGAAACAAGAGGTGGGACCTTCTCAGTGGTGTCATGCTGTTGTCACCATCACTCTAACAAGATAGAATGGAAATAATCTTTCTGCAATATACAAAGATTTATACTCATTTTAGTTGTTATATTCCTTCTTGGCTGAAAAGATAAGATCAATATGACCTTCCCTACTGTGACGACAAGATTGACCTGTGGGTTTAAGCTTATTCCTTTAGTGGGACATTTCAGTACGTTTAGTAGTACCTATGTGAGCTGTATGACCTGAGTGAACCTATGTTGTCCATGATATGATTAACTGTATAGGACCTGTGCTAGCCTGTGTTGTCTCTCACTGATATGACCTGTATAGGACCTGAGTGAGCCTACGTTGTCTTTCCCTCCTCAGACTGGAATACAAGTACATGAAGCTGGTGGAGACGGCTGGTGGGCGTGATGGCGAGCTGCCGGGGGTGGAGTCCTGTGGGCTGGAGGAGGATGACGAGGAGGCCGTCCACTTCCCTGACAAGAACACCAGCATATTCCAGAAAATCAAGAACAAGATTACCAGTGGTGGCAAGGTCAGTCACTGGGTGTGGGTTATTCAGAGCAGCGATAGAGTTGCTCTCCTTAATTGTGCCAGGATTTGCTGGTTTTGGAAGCCAGATGTGCTCTGATTATTATCCCTGGTTTGGTTAACATCTACTACCTGCTTCAGTCTCAACTAAAATACTGTTCAAAGTGGTGACACAATTTTCTCAATCTGTAGCAAAAGGGTGTTCACCTTTTATGTAACAGAAGGGTTAAAACAGGCTATGGCTGTAAAATGTCTCCAGATTTTGCCCTAATAGACAGATAGTTGGAAATGTCTATTGGGATAAGCTGGTGAATATGCCTCAAGTTGACAGTTTGTAGATCAACTTAGGAAAGGGATATAACTGCAGTGCCTCCTTGGGGCTACCGCAATATCATTAAAATCAGATCCCAGTTCTCGCTATCGCTAAACAAAGAGCTGAGGACATCCCATTACGTGTCACGTCAGAACAACCTTTCATTCGACCAATCAAAATCTTACCAGATCATGAAAGTGACAGTCGGAATGTGTTTTCTAATCATGCAACCTCGAAAACGTTAACAGGGTGTATTCCGAACGACAGTTGTGCCCCGTACGACTGATTACGTCAAAATTATCGTCTATCTCTCACTTCCGTGGGATAAATGTTTGAACGGAGGAAGCGTTGCACAGTACGTGGGAAGCACTGCCATACAATATCAACCATATATTAGGCTTTCCGGACTGTTCGTTTGTTCAGTTTGTTCAAAATTTTAATCGAGAAATGTGTCTACATATTTTTCAAGCGTAGTCTGAAATGTAAGTCACCAAGTTGAAATGAGTGCCGTAAAGCTCAAGAAAGCTGCTTTCTAATTGGCTGGTGTCGACCTCTTGTTAGTCATTTCAGTGGTCAGTCAAAGTTTGCAAAAGGTCGTTCTGACGTGACTCGTAATGGGATGTCCTCAGATCTTTGCAGCGAGAACTTAAATCTGATTTTAATGAGATTTGGGCTACCGTGGCAAGAGTGAGTGAGTATTCCAACTATGTCATGGCAACGTACACACAGTTGAACCTTGGCCAAGCCGAAAGCAGTGTTTGACTGATCACTCACCCAAGCTGCCAGAGCAGAATAACACAGTCAGCGAGGTCACTCATTGTAACCAACCGATCGTCTTCAGCAAGCTTGCATGGGGTGGTGGGACCAAATACTACATTCTTGTGACAAAGGTCTGAAGGTCACAATGGCTGCTGATTATGGCTGTCTAGTTTTTGGATGTGTGACCATCAGCATTGATCATTATTTGTTTGCTTCTGCAAGATTCATACAGACTTAAAAAGGCCTTGAATGTTAAGATCCCTCGAAAAGCCTTGAATGTTAGTGTCAACCTTACAAACTTATACTTCTAAGAGTATTAAAATTCTTGACAGACAATTTATTTTTTGTTGGTAGTGAAAACATATCTTATGGAAGAGTTATGATGTCCATACTGTATTTTAGGTCATACGACTTAAATATATTATGCTGGATTTTAAAACATATTGACAGACTAAGGCTAATAACCCGACTATAAAGCCTCAGTGATGGCACCGAGATACTGCCCTCAGTGAGGAATCCGGGTCAAACAAGGTCCCTCAATCTGTGCTTGTTGTAAGAGTTGTCGAGAATGGGGATCAGGTGGTTACAGTGGCTGCTGACCTGGCTAATTCTTACGTGCCTTCGAGTTCTTTGCAATCAACATCTTTTCATCAGCTTTTCTGTTAACCCCGGTTAGTTTTGGCCCAAACTGGATTGTTCAAAGGCTGTTGTGATATAGGTGGAATATTGCTGACAACATCGCTAACCTCCCTGTGATACTTATGATAAGTCAAGACTTTGAATGGCATTGATTAGTCACTGTGAAAAGGGAAACGTCGTCACTTCTGTCGTTATTACAAATATTTCATGTGTATGTAAGTATGCAAGTATACTATAAATATGTCATATGTATGTATGTAAGTATGCAAGTATTGTTAATGCTTCTTTTAATGTTATCACAATTTGTAATAAATGTATTGTTTGGTTTGTATGTGCTTCATGTTCCCAACTGTATTCTAGTTTATGTATGAATTCATTTAAATTTAAGATTTAATAACATTCCACAAGGTTTACAAAAGTGTTGATATTTTGCAGCATTAATCTGATTCAATAGGATATCAATCAATGTATCTTAAGCAGAATGTCTGCATGAGATGGCCTCCTTACTGAACTTAACGTGAACACATTACTCAGGTTTCAGACGATGACTTTGCTGTAAGTAGTTGGTAGACCACCTACCCCATCACCCAAACACTGCCCAAGAGGTACATTCTCAGCCTTCTACAGATGTAAACCTGTGCTGTCCGCCAATGTGTCAGGCCTCTAGACTTTGGAAACCATGGAAAAAATTAATCAGATTTTCAAATATTCTGTAAATTAATTGTGGAATTGTCAAAATTTCATTAATTTTTTTCAAAAGAAGATTCAATTACTAGTATCCATAGATGTGTCATACCAGGGTTTACCTAAATCAGTTAAATGTTTCTCAGGTGTGTCATGGTGTTTTTAACCAACTCCATGTTTTTGCATTTGATTAAATATTCGTAAAAAGATCTGTAAGGGAATAGTTGGAACTTGTGTTTAAAAAATGAATTGATTTTAAAAATCCATCATTATGAAATCAATTACATGCCTGAGAAATTTTCTGTGAATTTAATGCAGATCATGCCATAGCTTTTATTCATGGTACCTGTTTCATGAAAGAAAAAGAATTGGTCTTGATTTTATGGTAATAGACCCAGTATCACCTCCATCTACCATGTCAGGCAATTATCAGGCAATCATTGTTTGTGTTGGTGGAGGCTTTCATATCAATTTCTGTTCCATATCTTGCTCTGAGCCCACCTGGATAGTTTCATGCTCTCATTTCTTGTTCATTATGTGTTTCATCATTTGCTCACTTCAACAGAAGGTTGAAATGAGCTCATGCCATGGCGCCTTGTCCACTGACGTTGTCAGGAACCAAGAAATGGTGTCTCCAGAAAGTGCTCCAATTTCAAAAAAAAATTAAACATGGCCTCAATTTTAGCCACATGGAAAATGTAATGTTTACCTGTATCAATCATTTCCACTTGTATCATTATGAAATTTACAATGCACGACTTGTTAAGGTGAGCTACAGAGTCTCATGGCTCTCTGTTATTGGTAATATTGGAGTGGGTCTTCAGACATGTAGTTTCAGTGTGCTGTGGGCCCAGGGGTTTTTTCTTCTCATTTCCTCAATTTCCTGAAAATAGGCTCATATAAACCATACAATATCAAATATGTTCAAACCATTTTGTTTTAACTGAGAACAGGGCTTTTATAAAGGAATAATGCATTTACAATTTGACATTTGAAAATGATATTTCTTGAAAAGTTTCAATATTCACTGTTGGTATAAAGAAAGTTATTTGAGACATGGAATCGTTTGTAGCCCATTGACTTGACTTGGTAGCACTCATCCTAGAAATTCATAGAAGTCAAGATGGAAGACAAGGCTGATGTCTTGCTATCAATATGAATATCAGATAATCAAATTCAATCACAGACAATCAGACTTTGAGTGCCTTTATTCAAGAGACATAAACTGTTGTGTTATCACCAGTGTAATACAGAGAGAGTGAAAACAGTTAAACATGCATGTATGTGCAGGGTTAGAAACTAACAGTTTTTGTCCACTAGTCCTTATAATGATAACATATAGCAAAACCTTTAAATGGGGCCAATTTCTACTAGTCCTTAGGATACCTTTACTATTGGGCAGTTTGGTAAGGACTATAGGACTAGTGCCAATTTCTAACGCTGATGTGTGTGTCAGTTGTTCTGTTATTTGTCAGTGCATCTGGTGGTGTGAATCAGTTATGTAGTATTATGGTGTATGTTAAGTAATGAGTAATGTAATATTCCGATGTTGCAGGATGATGACAACCCTTTTATTGCCGTGAAGATGCAGGAGAAGTTACCACTGACATAGTCTTCTGATGGTCCACCGGCATGACTTTAGTTACAACCCAGATCTACACCGTCAAGTACCACAACTCAACACAACACGACTGCTAGGACCACAACTCGTCGATTGTCCAATCACAGATCAGCACCTGACTACATTCAGCTTATCTTTGATTGGCCAATCACAAATCAGATCAGTCAAGCACCTGCCTACACTCAGCTCATCGATTGCCCAATCACAGATCAGCAGTGAAGCACCTGACTATATATAGCTTCTCTTTGATTATCCAATCACAGATCAGATCAGTCAAGCACCTGCCTACACTCTGCTCATCGATTGCCCAATCACAGATCAGCTCAGTCGAGCCTCTGCTTATTCTGTCTTTGGTAGTCTTGAGCTTCCATGATACATACAGCAAAGGTGCTTGATTGAGTTAGATGCAAATGTATTACTACGACAGAACAACACAAAAAAACTAAGTATTTTTTAAGGCAGTATTGCAAAATCGATACATCTTTCACTGTTATTGTCCAAGGTGATTATGTATTTTTCCTGTAGTTATCCATGTACATATGTGACTGCTCTTTCACCTACCTGCACAATGTGTACAGAACTTAGGATTATCCTCCAAACTTGTAGTCTCCAGAACTACAGGCAACGGTTTTAAAGAGCTAAGTCTTCAGAAAAGACCAAAGTGTGTACAGGGTTATTCTTAGAAGTCTTTGTGCAGGGGGTGTCTTTGACAAAAGATTTTATGTTTGTTTGTTGTAACAATTATTCATCAAATCTGAGTATCTAGCACAGTATATCAATGTTTGATGTAAGATCATAACCATGTCATCAATTTCATATAATCACATACATGCATTTAGTGGAGAGAATACCCATGACCTTTGACCTGTTGACCTTAGTCAGTGCTTAAAAAATATTCTCTCAAGTGCTATGGTTTCTGTGCAGATGTCCTTGTTTCTAGTGGTGTATACACTTAACACCCATCAATGAGGGGGATATTGCTGGAATATGGACTAAATGGCTGGAATATGGACTATAGTTTGAGTATTGCTGGTAGATGTATACTGGTACATGACTAGACTATTGCTACAAATGGCGTACAACCCTACTCATCATTCTCCTCTACCCAGTGGTTAAGTGTTTGGCACTACTGCCATGGTTTTGTGTCCTACACTTTGAGGTACCAGGGCTCCATTTGAGGAACTTGAGTTAACTTGCACCAGTTGCATGTTGACATGAAAACCAAGCTGCACCAAACAAAACCAGGTTGCACCCTGGTCCCATAAAGCCATCTATCAAAGTTGCCAGTGTCATATGACCTTGCACATGACATCAAGCCTAAGAAAGAATGACAAATTACACACAACAGTGATATAGTAGGGGAAAGAAACATCAGATGTATTGAGTGTTCTATGACTGATTTTGTCTGAAGAAGGAAGGTTTAGTAAAACAAACGAAATGTTTGTTGCATTTTCAAACAACAGGTTGCACTTGTGCATGTTTTAATAGTCAAATTGAGCCCTGGGTGCCGACGTTTCACTGCATCTATCATTTTTCTGTCAGATTTTATATGTTGTCTTCATGTGTAATGATGACATGTTCTCACTGTCACATGTACAATGTTGTGTGACATAGTGTTGGCCGAACTACTCTCAGTTCATTGCAAACCTATTAAGGCCTAGACAATAGTATTTCATGTCTGACATGTTTAATTAACCAAAATGTATTCTGTCACATAAAGGTTTATTTGGCCAGAAGGGCAGAAACAGTCTTGAGTGAAGGGGCACTGTGGGTTTCCAAGTCCTGAGCAACCTGTCCTTGAGGTAAGAGGCGAATAATAGATTTGTCTCTTGGGTGTGTGCCTCAATAGTTCATTGTTCATGATGTCAATCACTGGATTGTCTGGTCCTCACTTGATTATTTACAGGTGGCTGTCATAGAGCTGGATGACTTCTGATTGCGTCCTAAACAACTCACAAACTTGAGTGAATGGCCTGTACTATATGTGCAATGTGTATATTCCTTTGAAATCCAAAATTCCATTTATGTGCTGTGATTATTTGAAAAAGCATGTGAATCTGCCAAGCCAGGTAACTGACTATATATGATTATATGTTATCTCTGCAGACATTTCTACCATATTGAAATCCAGTGAAAGTACACCATCAATAACTTGTAAAGGTGAACTAGTTAGATATGAATATGAACATTCTAGTTTTTGTGATATGTTTTTGTACACACTGACTGAGAATCTCTAAGAGGATGAGGTTTGAATTTGTCTCACATGTAACATAAAAAATGTAAGTCCACATGGTGGGTGTTGGTAAGTTTTTAGAGAGTTGAAAAATGGATTTTAAGTTTTATTTATTTTGCTTCTATCTACTTAGTTTATTATACATTATTTGCTGTTTTCACTGCCTTTTGTTCTTGAAATGTTGTGAAAATGAAATTCCAAAAACTGTTGTTTTCTTGATTGAAACTTGTGTTTACCATTAAATGTGATTTTGTATTGTGGACATAATGAGGCCGGTTGTCAAACACAACCTCCCTTTCAACAGGATCATACATAATACTTCTGTTTTTAGTGATTTTATTTTTTCTATTCATTTATTGTTGTCTGCTCAGCTGATGTGCTCAATACATTTATAGTTATCTATTGATAAATGTGCAATCTTCCTACATCACTTACTTGGCATTTGAAAGAGATGGGGACAAACTAATATATGTTTTTCTGTTCTTAAATCTGAATTTATATTATATTATATTTTGACTACCTCTGTTGGAATTCCAGAGTAGAATAAGTCCTCAGCATGTTGTGCTGGTCGTAAGAGGCGACCAAATGTATTGGGTGGTCAGGCTTGGTGACTTGTTGATTGCATGTCCTTGTACCTCGATGGTATGGATCGTTTCTCACGGTAACAATCACTGGACTGTCTGGTCTAGAATCAATAATATACAGGCTGCTGTCATATAGCTGGAATATTGTTGAAATATATTCTGAAAGTAGTGTTGTTTCCATATACCAAGGGAAACAAACACTTGAGAATCTGACTGCCTCCATGGTCTTGTGGTAGAGCTTCCAGCCAGACAGCAGAAAGTCGGGGGTTCAATCCCCGGCTGCGTTATACCAAAAGACACAATGGGTAGCTAAAACAAGGACTGGCTGTGTCTGAGTGGGGTATTCATGTTAAACTGCGGCATGGTATCTCAGTGGGCTAGCACCATCAATCGGCATTATTCCGGACCAGTACAAGCAGACACACACACGTGCATGCATGTCACTGTGTAAGTGCACAAATCTTGGACACGACGTTAAACTCTATTTCACCTCACCTCACTTCAGAATCTACTAGACACATACATTTTCTTCAGTATTGTCATGTTAATTTCAGAAACCACACACTTGCATGTATTCTCACCACATGTTTGTGTTGATGGAGCAAGGAGAAAAATGTGTTCATTTATACATTTATTTTAGTTGATAATACTTGGTATCTATTGCTTTTATTGCACTACCGCTCTCAGTTATCTAGAAATCCATTTATGGTTTATTTTTTTCTAATGTGGGAACATAATCATATTTACTATTTTTAATTGAATCAGCAAAACAGAGTAGGGAATAGGGAAGGCCTGTTGACAGAGCCCTCTTAGGCTCTCGGTAATATTTCATTATTACATTTACAAAGAGGTTTTCTGTATTGCAGACTCTGACTGCTAGTTGTCCGTCTAGAAATCCATTTATTGTTTATTTATTATAATAATGTAGGAACACAATCGTATTTACTGTTTTGCATTGCATAAGCATAGCAGACAAGCTCCTCACAGCGATAGCCTGTTTGCGGAGCCCAGTGCAGTGTTGCATTGTTACAAGCAAGCTATGACTGTCACGTCCTGATGCCAAATCTCCCCACTTTAACTCCAACTATTGTTAGAATGCAAGTTGCAATCTCAAACCAATAAAACAAACATAAATTCATCTTGGAAATAGTGAATTCTGAAATAGTTTATGACAGACTTACTATGTCCACAGTCAAACACTAAAATATATTTGAGTGAAGAAATTCAAGATGTCTGTAATGGCTGCATCCACACTGGTGACGTTGATATCACTGGGAGAGAAACGAAATCACACACTGATGGAGCTTGTGTAACAAGAGTACCATGCATAAATGTAGAAAGAGATACTCTAGATGTAATCAAAGATGAAAAACTTGGTAAACCACCTTACAAATTTCAAAACTGTTCTTAATCAAAAATAGATTCTATATAACTAATTACTGTTTGCTCAGATTAACTCTTAGGCTGAATGTGGTTGTATGACAACACTATTGTTTTGTATCCTCAAAATACATATAATGGCAGATGAAGTTTTTAGCTTTCGCTGGAGAAGAACTGACAGCTTCGGTGTTACTTTTGGTTGTGATTGTCAGTGTGAACCAATGTGATTTGTACATCTTGTACATAGTAATCAAAGATTTTATTTATGGTTATCAAAATGTTGCAATCAAAAGTCAATATCTTGTAATTGCACAATTTTAATTTTGTTTTAATTCCTGTATTTGGGATAGGATTGACTATGATTGACCCCTATTTTTTTCTTCCCCAAACGTGAGGTGTAATTTGCCATCTTCAACAACATGACCAAGCATTGTGGCCTATTCCACTAGGACCATCTGCACATTTACTGTTTCTTATCTCCGGTGGTCCTAAATTTCTTTCCTGCACAGTGAAAAAACATTCTCACATCTACCCACTGGAATACATCAGTATACATTTATAGAAGTTACTGTAAATATATTTTAATATATAATTTAACTGTTTCAGATAAAAAAATATTGCACTGTATTGTATAAAGATGATCTGAGAAAGTGACCCATGCTTTGGTATTTTTAATTTTGTCTTAAGGTTTGAATCATTTTTGCACAGGATATTTATTGATTTAAGCATGTGAAGCCTGGAGATGAGAAACGCAACATTATATGTGGCTTACGTGATCTAAGTACCACGACTGCCATAGTGCAGGTTGTCTTATGTTCCACTGCTAACATGGCGGTGGTGTTGAAGAGTCAATACACAACATTCCAATCAGCAATGTGTTTTTGTGATTTAGTTATAGTATAGAATAGAATATTTATATATACACGTGTTTCTGTTATGTAGTGATGGTTGTTTATCTTGGGTAGGGTTTAATCTGTTGTCAAATCCTTATTTCGTTTGAAATCCTGTGATTGTTTTGTGATACATTGTACATTACCATCCAGTCATGTTATGTCAGTTTCTGCATTACTCCTCAACCTATTTCTCTCATGTCATAATAATAATCAACAAATATTGTCTTAATGTTGAATCTCCCAGTATTTTGCAAAGTAATAAAGCTTTTTTATTGTATTCATGTCACAAGAATTGTACAGTTCTTTTCAAATATTACAGTGTCCATGAAAAGAGATTCTGAGGAAATCAAGTGGAAAACAATGCAAGCCTGATTCAGGACTAGTGGTTGATAGTATGAGCAAACAGTCCACATCGTCAGGCACAACAACACTGTAACCACCTGATCCTCTCCAACACAGGTGCTGGAAACAACTCCAGGTTCTAACAATGGCAGCAGATGTTGAAGAGAAAACATGAATTGTCTCAATCACTGACATCAGGTTTATTCCAACACAACCTCAGGGGCTGCTCACTTGCACGCTTCACACAAAGACAAACATGTCAGACATTTTCTGCTGAGATGGACAGACATTCAATTTACAGCACAACAGAAAGATAAAATATTCTGCATTCTTTCTTGGGCTCATGTTATAGTGACACACAAATTAGAAAACATGGAGTAATATGAACATTTTGCAACACCACCATGACAAGCACTATAGCTAATCTACCATAATTGCAAAATGAAATGTATTTACAGAGAATAAAGCACCTGTCGCTTTGTCCAGCTGAGAACAATGATTCAGCGACCAGGTCTTTCCTGGAGGTTGATTGATCTTGACGACTCCAATTGTATTTTTGTTGTAACAAGCATATTTGTGCAGGGAACAAGATTTCCTGAATCAAGTGTGACCAACCAATGCTGTCACCAAGCTAGGGGAAATCGTCTTCATTTTACATAATTGTGCGAAATGTCAATATGTAATGGATTAACATAAATATCATCCACACCAGAAAGAATAAATCTTAACATCAGATTCAATGCAATACTTCCACTCATTTTCCCCTCTCAAATCTACATTGGGAAACCAAATAGCATGAAAAGTCATATTATGCAAATTAAAATTCATAACTTTTTCATGAAAAAAACGCAGCTTCACTATTTTCTTGAAAGAAAATTATACAGAATCAAGCTCACATGCACTATTATACCATGAAATTGAAACAAAGCAGATATATACAAACGTGGAAAGTGCTCTACCAAACAAATAACTCTCTGCTATAGGAGGCCAACATCTTTTGAAAGTCAGGACTGATGACCAAAAATAGACTCTGCAAACATCACATAGCTTCACAAAATGTTGGGGAAGAAGTCGACCTGAGAGAAATATATTCCTTCATGAAGTGCTTGTCATTAACTTTAATTGAATCCATGGTAAATCAGCTCAAGACAATGAAACAATGCATTTACACAGAAATGTAGCTCAGGTGAATGCAAAGGAATGACGACAATAGGGCTATCAAAATATGTTCATCTCATGATGACATACACATTGTTTTATTTAGAATGTGAATAGTCAGGGAGGTTGGCAGAATAATCAATGTACTGCAGACATGGAATCCTAACAAGGCAAATTACAAAAGACACAGTTGACTTATGAATTTCAACTTTATTCTTTCAGTGCAACAGTTTGGTACAGATTCCTGTACCTTTATCAAGCGTGACATCACATTGAAGAAAAAAGCTGAACTCCATTGATAATGCAGCTTCTAAAATGTCACTTAAAAGATACAGAAACTGTAAATCAAGCAATTCGACATCAGCCTGGCATTGAGATTTTCACAAGGGTACTCTAATCCTATGCATTCCAGTACCTTCTGGACACTATATATGTAAAATATATATTCAATACCGGTTGATAACCCCATCATCACAACTGTCAAATTGATACACCAACTCGTACAATAATTTTGTCCCCCTCAAATGATCACAACTGATACATTTAGGACAGTGTGCTGCAGGTGCATTTCGAGAACAATGTGATGCTTGACGGTGCTTAAACAGTTAAGAGATACAACTTGTGACCTTACATTATCCTGAAAAGGAAAAAACACACAAACATGATGCACTTTGCCTCCCATTGTTTTGGGGGTCAGTACATACCCATGTACATTCGATAAAATCCTGTCCCTCATCCCCTATTTACAGGATGCTCCACAGGGAGTAGGAGGCCTTGATGCAATGACATCCCCACAACACCACCATGGATACATATAGGATTTTAAATGAACTGCCACCACATTGGGAAATTTCTTTTGTTCGTTCAGATTTGTGATTTTTACAAGTTCCTTTTTTCAGAGGTGCATTAACATCACATTTTAACATTGCATTCCAAACACTAATGTCAAACTAAGCCTCTTTCCTGTTTTATGGTCTTGCTTTAAGTGGAATACAAGTCATTTCTACCAAGCCATTAGTTTTAACTACACTTTCAAGAGATAGAAAATTCTTAATTAGCATTTGGGAATTTTTACTAAAAATTGCTGCAAACTTGGTGGCCTTAACTTACCTGGTCTGAGCAAATCCCTGCCTAGTCATAGACCAATCATTGATACGTATGTCCTAAAGAATAAAACCTACAAGAATAAGTGATTTCAATAACATTTTTGAATATGATATTTGCACAAGGGAAATAGTTCTATGGATATACTTCTTACAATGATTGTGACGTCTTGGTGTAGATACACGGTGGCGTTTACAGCCATCACTAAACTCCACTACATCCTTTGTTCATCATACCAGCCTCCAAATGCCACTTAAAGAAGTTATGATATTTACAGCTTATAACATTATTTTTAACATACTTACAATCATACATACAAACATTCTATTACTCACAGAAAAACAACACTGGTGAGATGGTTGGGCTTAACCCTGCTCTGAAAGTATTTCAGTTGTATCATGTCACAGTATATTTTGAATTTACACTGCCAATACATAAGTGGTAGGGTGGGTTTGGTTTTATGCAGCTTTGAACTGTATTCCAGTTACATCACAGTGTGTCAGCAGAAAGTGAGAGGAAGTGATGCAGGTTTCAGACGCTTACCACTTTGGTGAAACCCACGAGCATGGGTATGGTGTTGACAAACCTAGAAACATATGAGGGTGAACCTCATGAACAGTGAATTGCTGCACCTTAGACGACTGGGCCACCTGTGCCCCCTGCAGATAATGGAGGTGGAAGGTTTCTGACATGTAAAAGTAAACATATATTCATGTTGACATTCGTTTCAAAGATGAGAAAATATTTCTAAAAGGACAAACTTCGAAAAGGACAAACTTCGAAAAAGACGGTATATGAAAACTATTTCTAAACTAAGTACTCAATGCCCTGTATAATTATTTGGGTAATCTAGCAAACATTTGACACCAGTTACTCCAAGCAATTTACAGGCAAATCGCAGAACTATAAAATATATTTTCTAAAATCAAATTTTACAAGATGGGGAGATTGCCAACAACAAAAATTCAATAATATCTCCATACATTTATACAATCTACATGTCAGATTTTAAGTCTTCAATCACGTCAGTTTGTGAAACAGAAGAATACTGACTTGTCTATTCAACATGAATAGCTAGATTTTACTCTTTCACATACAAATCATCATTTCCAACTAAGCCCACCAGAAAATGCATTAGGGTGGATGTGCTAGCAGTTACAGAGGCAAACGTCTCTTCAGGAGCAACTGATTAGAAAAATAACCACAACAAAATGTGACACAATACAACAAAGTATGGAAGTTGTGAAACTATAGAGTGCTCTCCCTTTAGCACTATAGAGTGCTCTCCCTTCAACCCTAAGGTGCGCTCTCCCTTGATATCAATATAATTACAAATCATGTTATCAAGGCACAAATTAGTATCACATTTCCTTTTTCCACTCTTGCCCAATACAAATTCAATACATTTTCTCATGACATACAATCTACAAGTGTTCAGCAAGAAAAGAAATTTCTATGCACTGTGACGTTCCTATTCACAAAGATGTTGCCATATTCTCAACATCCAACCTGCTTTCAATACAACTCCTTTTTTTAAACTGAATGAAATCATGTGAAATAGCTATAGAACATAATCTATCTAATGGATAGTTATTTCTTGCCACTAATGCCTACATATGATCTTAAATTCTGCTGATACCAGTATTAAGAGGATGAGCATTTGACTTTCTTGGGGGAGATTCGGATCTTATCGAGAAAAAATAGATTGTCCCCTAAAATTCTTGAAAAATAATAATTATGCTTTGTATTGTTGGAAAAAAACAACTGTCTGCCACAAACATGACATTGTTGCAATGTGGTTTTTTAAAAGAAATATCTTATCTTAGTTATATTTAAAAATATATCTGGCTTTGCAGCCGTAGCTGAAAAGTTATCTTGTCTCAATATAAATCCCAGGTCCCCTCCCCCAAATACCAGAATATCAAATGTTCCTTCAAAGTTTTATGCCAACCATTAAGTACTATCTGTATATTATGAAAAACTTGTCTTTGCCAGAATGAGTATACAGGTATACAGAATGAGAAATATTGATGGAAGATTCACTGCACATGTAATTACAATAATTCCCTATTCAAGATTAAAGAACATATCTTTATCAGAAGAGTTCCATTGAAAGTGTTAAGAGCTGACAAAATAGGGGATTAGATGTTCACAATGTCTGGCCTGGATGAAATCTACACAAATAATTCATTGTAGCCTAAACTGAACTAGATCTAATTCTATGACAATACTGTTTAATACATAATACTACTTATTCTCAACATTGAAACATTTAACCAAATGAAAATACTGAAAACATTTGTTTGAGAAGATCATTGCAGTGTTGTGTAAATATTCTCTTCCAACACAACAGCAAGACAAACATAATTGCACGCACACACAAACGTTTAATTCAAATTAAGATCAAGCAGGTTGCCTGATAAGTCAATTGACCAGTGCTTCAGGAAATGCTTGACGATGTGGATCCATGATTTTATAGCTTCAAGTTTCTTTTCAAGAAAAAGAATAATCTGCCACTCTTTCAGACTAGTAACTGACATTATAGTGGGTTTTTGATTTACATTGCCTTTGGGAATAAGTAGTCTTGTGTCTTCAATATGCTTAATTCAAAGCTTTGTTTGTTTGTTTGTTCATTGTTTAACGCCGCTCTCAGCAATGTTCCAGCTATATGACGGAAGTCTGTAAATAATTGAGTCGGGACCAGACAATCCAGTGATTGACATCATGAGCATCGATCCACACAATTGGGATACGATGACATGCATCAACAAAGTCAGCAAGCCTGATCACCCAATCTTAATTCAAAGTAATGTTGTTTTGAGATGAGGGTACACCACTTCAAAAATATCTACACACACTAGGGGCAGAAAAATCCCTATTCGTATTCAACATCCCTTGTGTTGTCAATGACCAAAAAAGGGTAGATAACCCCCACTATTCTCAGTAATCTCCCCTTGTTTTGTCATTGACTAAGAGCAGATAACCTCCATTCATGTTCAACTATTCTCAGTTATCTCCCCTTATTTCAGCATTGACCAAGAAGATAACCTACATTCATACTAACCTATTCTCAGTAATCTCCCCTTGTTTCGACACCTAGGGCAGATAACTTCCATTCATGTTCAACTATTGTCAGAAATCTCCCCTTGTTTTATAAATGATTTAAAAGGGCAGATAACCTCAACTATCAACCCAAAGTATCGTCAGGGTCAACTATAAGCCATGGCAAGGAGGACAACACTGATGGAATGCAATGAACTACTATGGCATAAAATTAACACCGGTGGACAAGCTCATACATATTCATAATGTATCAAAATATGTATATATACTGCAAAAATAAAATGCACTTCTAATCTGAAGCAACATTGCAAGAGAAAACAAGAATCTATGAAACCCTTAACATTTTCCTTTTGATTGGGCAAGTTTTCTTTTTCATGCATGTAAAAACATGCCTTATGATGATTAATATTAATGCAACTGATTGTCTCTATTACCATCAGAACATTGCATAACTTTATCAAAAAAATATATCCTCTAACATGCCCTTGGACATAGGCGAAATGCTTTTCTGAATGGCGGAGTGCTGGTTGTTTTGAAATGTTGTGTATCGGTAGGTTGAGTCAACAGGGGTGTTGTCTGTGGGTGGAGTCAAGAACAGGGGTGTTGTCTGTGGGTGGAGTCAAGAACAGGGGTTTTGTCTGTGGGTGGAGTCAAGGACAGGGGTGTTGTCTGTGGGTGGCGTCAAGAACAGGGGTGTTGTCTGTGGGTGGAGTCAAGAACAGGGGTGTTGTCTGTGGGTGGAGTCAAGAACTGGGGTGTTGTCTGTGGGTGGAGTCAAGAACTGGGGTGCTGTCTGTGGGTGGAGTCAAGAACAGGGGTGTTGTCTGTGGGTGGAGTCAAGAACAGGGGTGCTGTCTGTGGGTGGAGTCAAGAACAGGGGTGTTGTTGGTGGGTGGAGTCAAGAACAGGGGTACTTACTAATTCAGCAAAACCAACAAGTACAAGCACCAAGTTTATTTCTTATCAAACATAAACATAACATCCACAAGCACACCTCCCACCTCCTATTAATCCTTTACTGAGAAGAAAGTGAACATGGTCAGCACCTACTAGGGTTAAGGCACCAGACTATAGATTCAAGTTCCCTTCTAACCACATGGATCACAACTCATCATCTCTGGATTCAGGAAGCCATCAATATTTCATCAATATCCACCGTCTTACGAAAAGAACAGGGCAAACTACTCTTTAAAAAAAAAATACATGTTAGTCATTTCAAAGATTGGGGCATGGATCAGAAGCTCATCAGAGGCGCATCAGAGACTCATCAGCAGCCCATCAGAGGCTCATCAGCAGCCCATCAGAGACTCATCAGCGGCCCATGAGGGGCTCATCAGACGTTGATCAGGGGCCATCAGTCCCATAATTACAATAATCGTAAATAAGACTACGACAATAACTTTATTTGCAAGTATGAGTGTATCTTTTTAAAACCCATCCATTCCTGAAGAACATGCACGGGTGTCGTTTTATTGGTTGGAATACATTTGGTCTCATCTAACTGTTGGGTGCAGCTGTTCACCTCACAGAATATACAGGCCATGGAAAGTTCCACCTTAACCTTCGTCACAGCGAAATAGCTACAAAATTAATATATGCATACCGTCAGAATGTTTGCATTCTTTGGTTTACGGTCTTCTGTGTGAAAAGTTTGATCCTATTCTTCAAAACTTATCCAAGTAGGTCTCCATGTGTGCCATGCTAGCGAAAGCATGGCCCGTCATCAACCTATTGCAGCTTTGTACAAATTGGTAACAGAATAAAAGAAAGTGTTTTCAAATTTGAGTTTTACCCCCATTATTTTAGTGTTGGTTGAATCTGTAAACCAATTTACAAAAAGGTCTCTACTATAAACAAATCTCCCACTTAAATGTCTACGATATATATGAATTTAGTTTTCTAATCATCTGAAGAAACAAGCGAATACATGACAGGACTTCCCAACCAAAAAAGCTGCCAGTCTTGTAGAAACAAGCTCTCTCAGACAGATGCTCATCTGCATCTTCAGCCCCAGTTGAAGTTCTGCAGGATACGCTGTTTCTAATCTAATGCATAAATGTGAAAGTGCATGGTTTTAATACAAAATTTATCACAAAACATTCACCATGTTCACAGCTACTGTTTGGGTAGCCACAACACACATCACAACATCAACCTTTGGAAATCAGGAAGATTCTTTGAGAACACGCTCCACATGTTTGATATTGTCCAGGAGATTGTCTCGCACATCAACCCGCAGTCCGCGACGGGACGATATCCTCTCTTCCAACATGGCACACAGGTCAACATCGGAAATGCGGGGTCGCTGTGCTGTTCTCTCCCTTGGGTAAGGGTCGTCTGGGGAGGCGGACGTGGATGGCTGGGGTTCGGAATGAGATGATTTACGAGAGTAGGAGTTGACGGTGGACGAAACATGCGTCGATTTCTCCCTTGATGTGGAATGGTGAGATGTGTGGCGTCTGAAAATATGAAATAGAAATACAAGCATTATTACAATCCCCCAAAATAATTCACAATGTAGATTACATCATTATGGCCATGAGACCTGTGAAGATCCCGGGTAGAATAGGCCTTCAGCATCCCATGCTTGTCGTAAGAAGCGACTATCTGGATCGGGTGGTCACGATAGCTGACTTGGTCGTTGTATGTCATTGTATCCCAATTGCATGGATTGATACTCATGATGTCAAATCACTGGATTGTCTGGTCCAGACTAGATTATTTACAGACTGCCTTCGTAAAGCTGTAATATTGCTGAGTGCAACATTAAACAAAAAACAAATAAACATTACGCCCATGTTCTCACATGCCTGGATCAAAGATGACGACGATGATGATGATGATGATGATGATGATGAGTGAGTCAGTTAGATTTTAAAGTCTCAGCATTATTTCAGCCATATAGCGATGATGATGATAATGATGATAACAGCAATACCACTCATAACTCAGTTCAGGCAATGTACTACCACAATCATTAAGAGAGCAAGTACTGCCTTGGACAGTATTTCAGTCACATGATGGCGTCAGCACACTGTGCAAGGAAAGCCTACAGTGACGTCGGTCTGAGACATGACCACAAGCAAGGCTATCATGGTGATGACAAAGGATCATAATCAGAATAAATCAGAGCCACTGATCAGCAGATCCAGACACAACTAAGGGACACAACTCTGGGGTGAGTGTGGGTGGCGTACCTCCTGTCGTAGTCCAGGTCCTCCTGGGTGGAGACATTCTTGTGACTCTTGTGGCTCCCCGTGGCCTCCTTCCGCTCCACGTCCAGTCGCACGTTGATGACGTAGCCGCTCCCCGGGACCAGACGCGGCATTTCATCCCCAAACAACTGAGATATCACTGAACACACGAATGGTTTTTGTCAGTTCACTTCACTCTCAGGTCCATGTTAAGGATGTCACTGACCGGCAATTTTAATATTAATGAATTTCCTATCACCAGGTGATCACATGCAACATTCATAACCATGACAAATACAAAATACACTAATGAACAAGATGAAAGCTGGCCTAAATAAGGGGAATGTTTACCATTACATTAGAATTTAGTTTCAAACTTTCTAGTGCAATGACATCATTTTGGGGGAAAGATTCACACTTGAAAAAGGTTTCAAAATCACATTACCAAATTCAGATTCAAATGTTAGGTGATAGAACACAAATAGTGTTGAAAGTGAAGGTTTTACTGACAACACACGCTGGCTCCTGTATTGACCTACTTCTCTTCCTGTACTGACCTACTTCCCTTCCTGACCTACTTCCCTTCCTGATCTACTTCCCTTCCTGTACTGACCTACTTCCCTTCCTGTGCTGACCTACTTCCCTTCCTGATCTACTTCCCTTCCTGTACTGACCTACTTCCCTTCCTGTGCTGATCTACTCCCTCCCTGTACTGACCTACTTCCCTTCCTGACCTACTTCCCTTCCTGATCTACTTCCCTTCCTGTACTGACCTACTTCCCTTCCTGTGCTGATCTACTCCCTCCCTGTGCTGACCTACTTCCCTCCCTGTGCTGACCTACTTCCCTTCCTGTGCTGACCTACTTCCCTTCCTGTACTGACCTACTTCCCTCCCTGTGCTGACCTACTTCCTTTCCTATACTGACCTACTTCCCTTCCTGTACTGACCTACTTCCCTTCCTGTACTGACCTACTTCCTTTCCTGTACTGATCTACTTCCCTTCCTGTACTGACCTACTTCCCTTCCTGTACTGACCTACTTCCCTTCCTGTGCTGACCTACTTCCCTTCCTGTACTGACCTACTTCCCTTCCTGTACTGACCTACTTCCTTTCCTGTACTGACCTACTTCCTTTCCTGTACTGACCTACTTCCCTTCCTGTACTGACCTACTTCCCTCCCTGTGCTGAGCTACTTGAGGTTATTTCCCTAGTCTCACCTGCTCCGACCGTGCTGCCGATCCCTGACTTCCTGTTGGGGGAGTAACTGAAGGACTTGTTACTGTTCTGCTCTGAGCCGCTCTGCAACAACAGCACAACAATGGTTATGATTAAGCAAAAATAGTGACTTGATTATAAGTTGTCAACCGATCTCGAGGAGTATTTGGTATGATGTTCCCTGTGTGTAGCCTATGTACCCCAAGCCATCAGGCGAGAAGAACATGGGCTCACATGCGGTGTACATCACACCATATGCCCCGAGTTATCGGTTAACAACAAATTTATCTTACACTCATTCATACAGATCCAGAATAAATATCCGCAGTTTACCTGAGTTAAGTTACTTCCCTTTACCCAATGCAATCAGATAAACATCGGTTCATTTCAACTCAACGATACTTATTTGAGATATGCAAGTTACCTACGATGTGTTCTGATTGATTTCTCAGTGGGCTGTATGAGCGGGCTACATGGAAAATAATAGCCTGCTCTTTAAACAATCAGAAGCTAGTATTTTAATGTAAGGTGAGATAAAGCTTCATAACAGACTCAGCAAGCAGATAGTGAACTAACTCGCTGACCTGTTACTGGAAACAAGGGAATATCATTTAACATGTTACCACGACTACAGAAGCATCCATGTGATGAACTGAGCTGCCTTTCACTTCCAGGGTTTCAGATGGCCGTCGGTCACCAGTCATAGACTGATAAAATTTCAATTTGACCGATGGTTTGTTTAAGTTGTCGGACTCAGGACCGATAGAAATGCTAGGCAAGGGGTCACACGTGTCATAATTTCATGATTAAACAGTAAATAGTAAGGATTATTCCTACTTATGGTATCGATTTTAATGACCAATGAAATACTCTCATAAAGTTTGATGTCAATCGAGACAATGTACAGTACATAGTGTCCTGTTTTCGATCAGAGCTTTCAGCATCATATATGCCTTTATTATTATTCCTGACACAATACTATTACCATGATTATCGTCAAATCACAGGTTTTCGGACATTGTATGTTTTTTATCACAAATACTTCCACTAAAGTGAGGGGTGTGGCGTTACACAGAAATTGTAAATTGTAGATGACGGCTTGTTTTTAATATAAAGCTTTCCTTTATAAGTGAATGAGATGTTTTACAGTTGTTCACGCGACTAGCATCCGAAACCCCATAACACGGCGATATATGTTGTGTTAATGTCTTATGTTGTTTTGTCTTTTCAACAAAAGGTAAGTAAGTACAAGGTAAGTCTTGCATTAAACGGTTCATAAGTTGGATAGAACACTCCTCCAAGATTTTGGTGGATAATGTAAAACCTCAAGCTCGGGAAAAGCCCTCTGGCCTACATCCCTCAGGCATTTCCCTCGCTCACGGTTTGATATTTTTAACTAAAACCATGGAGTCGTGTTTTATTCTTAACATACAATGACATCCCGACTGAAACATAACATTTACCATACTCAGCATTAAATCTCATTTAATCCTTAACCCAAAGGACATTCTAAACAGAAAGGTCAAAGTTGTACTTACCGCTTGGTCATTGTCCTCGGACATGGAGTGTCTGTAACTGCCGGGGGAACTACGCTTCCGGAACTCCTGTCCGGAACTGTGGCGAGAGTCACGGGAGGGTGAGGACTGGATCCCCGACCTCTCCCGGGACATGCGATGACCTTCACCCCGACGATGTACATTTTTACCATAAAATCCACCCTGGTGAATTTGATCCGATTCCAAGATGGGTGTTTGAGGGTGTGGGGACCGGTGAAGGGGAGTTCCTCGAGAACATTGATCGGGGGAAAGCAGACCTGGGTCAACAACACCTGTTCCAGAATTTGACATGGCCATTCCTGGTCTTATCATCCTCCGAGATGCAAGCCCCCTCCCGCCTCCCCGGCCATACCCCTTCTTCATGCCCCTCTTCATTCCACAGTTGTGAAGGGATCTCTTGTAACTACGCTTGACAGCAAATGCATTTTTCTTTGGAGCTGTTGCCCGGCGAGAAGCAGGGAGAATGTTCTTCAGGGAGACCGCACCAGTGTCACTAGCAAACTCAGTGGCTTCACGTGGTTTCAGAAATGATTTTTTATTTTGCATTTTTGAATGCACATCTACAAAGACTGACCTATCCAAAGCCTCCTCTTGATTAGACAGTGTTGGCCGCTTCATGCTGGATTTAACTGGTTCCATGGTAGATATCTTCGTCAGCACTGGTGGATCCTCATCTCGTGGATGATTAGCATCCATCATTTCAGCATCAGCAAAGATATCGGAGACACTGTTGTTCAGGGAGGCTGTATCATTGGGAGGGCCGAGAGGGCTCAGCCTGACAATAGGAGAAGATTTCTTGGTAGTCAGCCCACCTCCTCTCCCCATCTTCATACCCCTGCCTCTGCCTCTCTTGGCTACCTGAAGCCTCCGTGGTGCCGGCGGCGCGCTACCTGCAGCTGGGGTTGAAAACAGGGACTCAACAACATCATCGTTTACATTGCTTGCATATTTTTTCTGATTGATTTTTATTTGTGACAACACTTTCTTCCCATACTTCTTAATATTCATCAGCCCTGCACTGACACTCATTTCCGGCTGGAGGCCATAGCTGCTTGCATTCTTCTCGGCTTCGATTGCAGCTTTCATCGCTTTCAGCTGAGCCTCTAGTCTCTGTAGAACAGCCGGAGAGTGTTTCTTTTTCTTGTTCCATTTATGAAACTTTTTCTTGCGCATCTTCGATCTTGGAGAGTTCCCCTTGGGTACTTTTTTCACGTCTGCTGTTTTGGGTTCTGTCAGAGTAATATCTTGCTTACCAATACCTGTCTCTCCTGATTTACCATATGGTTCAACCATATCTTCTCTATCTGGCTCCTCCTTGAATTTCTTAATTCTCCTTTTCGGGGATTGGAACTCTTCGGCGGAATCTGGGATGGGGGGAATCATGTCGCCGTTGTGAATATCCAACACGGCATCATTTAGCCGAGGCTCTTGAGACAATTGTTCTCTCAACACCGCAAAAGCATTTTTCTTAACGATGCTTTTGGTTTTGCTGCTCTTCGCAGACGAGTCCGTTTCTCCATCTAAACTATCCCCCCCAACAACCGAGGACATAGCACCATCATTCACTTCAGCCTCACCAACAAAACTGGTATTCAAGGCCTCAAAAGAATTCTGCATTGTTGCCATTTCAGCAAGCCTCTTCAGGTTCTCGGGGCTTTTGGGGCTTTTCTTCTTTAGAGAGGAGGTCAGGTATTGTTTCTTCTTCCTCTTCTTAATACTCCATGGCTTATTTGGAGCTGGGATCTTCAAATACGATTTCAGTTGTTCATCATCCTCATCACTATCCAGACATGGACCCTTGGCCATCAGAGCAGCAGCGGAGTCGTCCCCCTCCTCGTGAGTGTCTGCAACACCGTTGGTCTCCTGTCCCGACAAAGCCTTCTGCGTTGCATCTAGGAAATCATTCAAGTCTTGTTCCTTTTGCGAACTACTGGAATCTTCCGCAGGTGGCCTTGACCCAGATTTCTTCACCTTTGCCTGAGAAACTTTGTCCATGCTAGCTTTCCGTTTACGGGACTTCTCTGAACTCAGTATTTTAGTTTTCAATAATTTCTTCACCTCTGAATGCTTAGAACCATTCAAAAGGCCACCTTCCCCAGATTTAATGCTGTTCTCAAGCGTATCACCATCCATACTGGCTGTACCCTCACTGCCGCTCACAATGCTCGACACAGTAGATAACTGAATTGGGTCTGAAGTCTTACCAGGGACGTAGGTAAATAAGTCTACATCCACCTCTGGAGCTGCGTCCTCTGTCGCAACAACCTTTTCCACCTCAGCCTCCTTCACATTATCTTTGGCTACATCTTCAGCAACTGGATGTTTACGTGGTCGACCCATTTTCTTCTTCACTTTTTCCACCACTTTTTCCCCGGAATCAATTTTTCTAGGTCGACCAAGTTTCTTTTTCTGGCTTTCCTCTTTGTCACTGCTAGGCTCCGGAACAGTTTCTTGTATCTAGCAAGGAAATATTCCAATCATCAGCAGGGATACATGTTTGTTTGTTGTTGTTTAACATGACACTCAGCAATACTCCACGTATAAAATGGCGGTGTCTTACAAAACGTGTTTGGACCAGACAACTCCAGGATTGATACGAGCAGCAATGATGGCACGCTACCAAGTCAGTCCACCAGATCCATAAAGTGGCCATGAAGAACACCTCATTCAGCAATATTTCAGCCACTTGACGCCTAAAAAATCATTTCTGTTCCACACAATCAAGCAATTGAAATCATGAGCATCGATCTATGCAATTGGGATGCGATGACATCAATCAACCACGTCAGCAAGTCTGACCACATGATCCTACTATTTGCCTCTTATGACAAGCATGGGTTGCTGATGACCAATTCTAACACAGATTTTCAAGGGTCTTAAAATATGACAATGCATGGTATCTAAATCGTATGACAGGACACTGTATCTACTTACAGTGTCATTCCCTGGTTTGATGACGTCCTTGTCAGCATCTCCCTTGGGTTGAGGTTCTTCTTCCATGACAGCCTTTTCTTCCTCCAACACAGCTTCTTTCGGTACCTCTTCTACACCAGCTTCAACCTGCTCCTTTTCATCGCTCTGCTATTGATAAGGTTACCATGGTTACATCTTGCATGGGGAACTAATAGTGTACTGACACATTTCATTGTGAAACAATACATAAATATATGAAACATAAAATTTCAGTCTTAAATGGATCAGTTTGGTTTAACACCGCTCTGAACAGTATTTCCGTTATCACGCCATGTCAGTCTGATGTGGGAGGAACGTTGGAAGTGATGCAGGTCTTAAGTCACATTCTACTCTGGTAAAATCCTTTAGAATTCGAACCCAGTATTTTGGGTTTCTGGCACACCCAAGGGACACAACTCTTCCCTGCTAATTCAATGCTGGACCATCATGTTCCCCAATATTAAGGAAACATTTGTCAAAGGAAATCAATATTAGCCCAACTGACGAGACTAAAACATGTTTAATATGTTTAGTCAATCACAAAACAATAGTGGCTGGAGACTTTTTGTACAAACATTCAGAAACTACTGTCACATGACACCTTATATACACTTGTACCATTTTGTATCGATACATTATCTTCTGATACATATATCTTATCACAGTATCATGATCCATGTTCCAATCCTCGGATTTTGTCCTAAAGAGAGAATAACCAATAGGCTAAGTAGACTTGTCTTTGCACTTGTTTATTTTGCTTGTTTGTTTGTTTGTTGTTTAATGCCACATTCAGCAATATTCAAGCTATATAACGGTGGTCTGTAAATAATCGAGTCTAGACCAAGTCACTTAGCCTGACAGCCTTATCCATTTTCATCGCCACTTCCGACAAGCATCAGTCATCATCTTTACCAAGCTTACCGTGGAATCCCCACTAGTTCTCAGGTACTAACATGTTCAAATAAAACCCGGCACCAGCTCATCAAACTGACTCGGGCTACCGCTAGTTTACATCCCGGCACCAGCTCATCAGTCAGTCTCAGGCTACCGCTAGTTTACATCCTGGCACCAGCTCATCAGTCAGTCTCAGGCTACCGCTAGTTTACATTCCGGCACCAGCTCATCAAACTGACTCAGGCTACCGCTAGTTCACATCCCGGCACCAGCTCATCAGTCAGTCTCAGGCTACCGCTAGTTTACATTCCGGCACCAGCTCATCAGTCAGTCTCAGGCTACCGCTAGTTTACATCCTGGCACCAACTCATCAGTCAGTCTCAGGCTACCGCTAGCTTACATTCCGGCACCAGCTCATCAGTCAGTCTCAGGCTACCGCTAGTTTACATCCCAGCACCAGCTCATCAGTCAGTCTCAGGCTACCGCTAGTTTACATCCCGGCACCAGCTCATCAGTCAGTCTCAGGCTACCGCTAGTTTACATCCTGGCACCAGCTCATCAGTCAGTCTCAGGCTACCGCTAGTTTACATTCTGGCACCAGCTCATCAGTCAGTCTCAGGCTACCGCTAGTTTATATCCCGGCACCAGCTCATCAGTCAGTCTCAGGCTACCGCTAGTTTACATCCCGGCACCAGCTCATCAGTCAGTCTCAGGCTACCGCTAGTTTACATCCCGGCACCAGCTCATCAGTCAGTCTCAGGCTACCGCTAGTTTACATTCCGGCACCAGCTCATCAGTCAGTCTCAGGCTACCGCTAGTTTACATCCTGGCACCAGCTCATCAGTCAGTCTCAGGCTACCGCTAGTTTACATTCCGGCACCAGCTCATCAGTCAGTCTCAGGCTACCGCTAGTTTACATCCTGGCACCAGCTCATCAGTCAGTCTCAGGCTACCGCTAGTTTACATTCCGGCACCAGCTCATCAGTCAGTCTCAGGCTACCGCTAGTTTACATCCTGGCACCAGCTCATCAGTCAGTCTCAGGCTACTGCTAGTTTACATCCCGGCACCAGCTCATCAGTCAGTCTCAGGCTACCGCTAGTTTACATCCCGGCACCAGCTCATCAGTCAGTCTCAGGCTACCGCTAGTTTACATTCCGGCACCAGCTCATCAGTCAGTCTCAGGCTACCGCTAGTTTACATCCTGGCACCAACTCATCAGTCAGTCTCAGGCTACCGCTAGTTTACATTCCAGCACCAGCTCATCAGTCAGTCTCAGGCTACCGCTAGTTTACATCCCGGCACCAGCTCATCAAACTGACTCAGGCTACCGCTAGTTTACATCCCGGCACCAGCTCATCATTCCTCGTCCACACTAATGACAACATATTTACCTGACTTTTCTCCGGTTTGTTGTCCAGGTCTGGAGTGTCCGGGGCGGACGAGGTGCCATTCTTGGCTTTCTGTGATGACAAGACATCATATGAACCTCTGCACCGATGTATTTAGAATACATGGACACAGCCATGTAGGTTCATAACAAACATAAGCAAATATCTGCACAGAACATGCTGAACTTTAACGCCTGAGTTTTAACAGTGAATTCACTTCACTTGTAATAATTACTTGAGGCCATCATCTGTTTTCGAGAAGTATCATGATTTTAACAATGTTTAAAGATGTTTACTGTTTGACTACGTATAACAAAAAAATATAACCCATGTACATGTCATGCTATCTAATAATGCAATGCTACCACAAAAGGAAAAATCTTTCAAAATGTTAACAAGACACATCTATTCAGTAGAGATGATGATGTATGATGTTTGTTGCTTAACGCCACACTCTGCAATATTCCAGCTCTATGACGCAGTCTGTAAATAATCAAGTCTGGACCAGACAATCCAGTGATTGACATCATAAGCATCGATCCACACCATAGGGATACAATGACATGCATCAACCAAGTCAGCAAGCCTGACCACTCGATCCCGTTAGTCGCCTCTTGCGACAAGCATAGTCACCTTTTACGGCAAGCATGGGCTGCTTAAGACCTATTCTACCCCGGATCTTCACGGGTCTATTCAGTAGAGGATCATGCATGAACAAATAATGTAACCAGGATCTCAGTTGTTAACACCTCCACCAGCCAGGTGATACTGTTCACCACTACACTCTAATGCCACTAGGATCTCATTACCATATCATGCATATCGCTAGTCAACTACAGGGCCCCGTTCCACAACACGATCTTAGCGCTAAGATGATCGTAACTCCCATACTTTAACATAGGCTTACGACAGTCATAGCACTAAGATGATCGTAACTCCCATACTTTAACATAGGCTTACGACAATCATAGCACTAAGATCTTAGCGCTAAGATGATCGTAACTCCCATACTTTAACATAGGCTTACGACAATCATAGCACTAAGGTCGCCTTGTGGAACAGGCCCCAGAACTATAAATTTTAATTCATTTTGCTAAAACATCTAAGATATCCATGGTAACAAGTCTACTGGATACGTCAAATAGCAAAATAATGAACTCAAAATACTCCAAAGCAAAAAGTGTTTCCACGAAATGAACATATTTAATAGCTGAATCCACTTGCCGGTACCAATGACTCACCTACTGTGAAGTTTCCAATAGTTAGAAACAATCAGTGAGTGAGTGAATGAGTTGGGTTTAATGCTGCTTTGAACAGTATTCCAGTTATATCATTGTGTGTAAGCTTAATGTGGAAGGAAAGCCTGAAGTGACGCAGGTCTTAGAGGTTTACCACTTTAGTGAAACCACAAACATTGGTATTACGCTAACAAACCTAAAAACATAATTGGGGTGAACCAGGTTTCAAATCCACAATCATAGGTTTCTGGCTCAAGGGACACAACTCTTCATAACAAAATGCAGACGACTTGGCCACCAACTTATCTGTTTATACTAACAAAAGGACACTTAAACATTTCGGGTCTTCAAACAGCCTGACTTTAGGATCTCTGCTTGTCTATATTAAGAGTATTAAATTTTCCTGAAATTGTAAATTTTACAATAAATTGTATATACCTACCCTTTCTCACACTATGAATTACTCATTCATCTTAACTCTTTCAACACCAGTCAACCAGAAGTGTTTACTGCTGGGACACCGAGTTCCCAGAGACTCTTGTGTGATAGATGAAGCCAACATTTATCAAAGAAAATACCTGCTTGTAAAATATATTTGCTACTACATGTTATACACCATTTGAAAGGTCTGATCCTATGGTTTATAAATATGAAAGTTATATTTTTCAAATTATTTAAAATAATGCATTTACAACTTAATTAAATTCGTTGTAAATAAAAAATGTACGCTAACACGTTGTTAACATCCAGATTAAGGACCAAGGAAGCGAAAACTTGACGATTTTCGGCAAATATATGATTTCATAATATCCACGTACCTATTTCTGTTTTATTTTCATTGTTTACGTAATTGGAAAATCATTTTAAAAAGAATTATAAATAGTTTCTGTCATCACCCATTTCCCGATAACAGCGACTGTCCGCTCAGTAAAATGAAGAAATACCCCCGTTTTCGAGGTTTCGTATGAATAACACGTTCGTCGAAGAATGGCATATGACACATCGCTGGAAAGCTTATTCCTTCATCTACACGCTCGTAACATCGACTGGTTTCTTTTCGTAGTTATAACAAGCGATTTCATTGGATTAAAATTGGTTTCTAATGACGCTTTCTTGCTGAAATCTGCTACAAGTTTCGTGATTGGTCAATTTTGATCACGTGACCTAAGGCAGCCAATCAAATTACAGCTGTGATACCAAGCTCGTGTTCGATAAATTACAGAAGTTTGCGAAAGAATTTTGTTAAATCGTGTTATTCTGAACGTTTTGAGCAGGAAATCACGATATATATTAAAAATATGGAACTTCGTGAATGTATCGTGCTAGGTTACGAGCTGTGACAAAGATTTTTCATGCATATATTTTTGCATTAAACATCGTGTCCGAGCCGAGAATTCAAGGCGACGAAAGCCGAGATGTCATTTGACTTACATTACACGTGATCGCACGAAAAGATGGAAATAATAACTTAGATGTAAGTTTGATTACTTTTAGATATATTTTTGTTGATTTTATTTATTACTTTGTATAATATATTTAAAGATTTGTTTAAAACGTCTTTATTTTCCTCTTTGACGTGTTCGATGTGGACCCGTTGTCGAAATGTGTGTCCGAGAATTTTATTTTCAATAACATCGCGAGAAATAGTGAATAATTTTTTAATTTAACGATAAAAAATGTTAAATTGAAATGGAATATGTATTTCAGACATTGTGAAATGTGATAGATTTAATAAATGAATGACATTACAGGTAGGTCCATAAAAATATATACTATTTTGACGTGACTACGGCTTGGCCGGATAACCGGCCTGCGGTGTCTGGGGACTCAATGCTTCTTGGCCGGATAACCGGCCTACGGTGTTGAAAGAGTTAAGATCCTAAGTGAAAATGTGCCTAAACATGCTAAACAAAGGTTTCCAGTTTCTAAAAAACAATTCACCCGAACACACCTCCCAACAATCTGGGTTTGGGTTATGCACGCTTTTCATGCCGATCGATTGAAAATGAGGTATTTTCAAAATTCTCATCTAAATAATCTTACCATTACAATGAAGAAACATATAGGACACTTTATTTTCTATTTTGCAGAGCTCCGGATAACCTTTTTGAGCAATTGAGTTTTTACTCGAAGGTTTCTATTTCAATTGGGTTATTACATTTTTCATTAGGTGACCAATATTTTTTCACTCATCTATTCATCACTCTATTGGGTTTTTTCCCAAACTGAGTAAGCATTTTGAGATTTTATAAATATGAAATAATGTTTTAGATGTATATTACGGTTCTAAATATAGGCTTGACTTGGAAAGTAAATTAGCTTGTAGTTGTGTTTCGGAAATTAGCTCTGTTGTACGCATGCTGAAAAGATTCGTTGGGTATTTATGTGTGCTGTTTTCAAACAATTGAGTTTTTCATTTAATGCATGCGTTTCTGTACCCAAGTTAATTGAAAGTAATTGGGTTTTGAATAGTTTTGGGGGTATTTTACGCAAATACGCAGCTTATCTGTAGCTCTGACTCTGTAAGGCACTTTCACCACGCTTAATTTAAGACCAAATACTGGTAGAGAAACACGGGGAGACCGCGGTTTTAACACTTAATATTTATCAATAAGACTTCAAACAGTTAATAGCAGGAATTCAAATTCCTTTTTCAGTAAATCTCAAGGACAAGTGAATAAGATAAACCAGTTGCCCTGGTTGAAATTCTAGTTGCCAAAAACTTTTCATTGAATTAAGTGACAAGCATTGATGACATGACATGCCCTTGCCGCCAGTGGCACAGTCTGTCATGGCTGAACTGCTTCAGACATTTTGGGCCATGATGTGATTGTCAGAATACTGTTGAGATTTGCTCGACCGAGTACGGTACGATATAAATGTCTTCACAATATTTATATTGGAAAACAATCTCACAAGAGACATACTGAGTGAAATGTGAATTTGGCAATAAGGAATTACACAACATGGTGATTTACACTTTCCTGTATTGATCTGCCATGAAGTTATTTCCTGCTACCTTGGCATTTCATATAGATTACGATAATCACAGGTTGTTGTCACATGAAATAAGACTGAAATAGTAACCATGATCGGAAGCTATTATGTACCAGGAACAATACATTCCAATATCCTGTTAGTTTTGTTGCTGCTTTTTCTGTATTCATTAATATTAAAATCATCACAAGTGTAGGAATGTATGGATGAGATGAAGTAACAAAGTAGGTTGTTTGTTTGTTTGTTTGTTTAACTCAGCAATATTCCAGCTATATGACAGTGGTCTGTATATAATTTAGTCTGGACTAGACAAATCAGTGCTTGACATCATGCGCATCGATCCACACAATTAGGACACGATGGCATGCATCAACCAAGTCAGCGACTCTGACCACCCGATCCCGTTAGTCACCGTTGGTCAATGTTTTGTCTGTCTAAGATTGTTAGATGTGTTGAAATTAGCACTTCAGGTTCACTACTTACCATAGCACTACGAACATGTTTCTACAGCTAGTTTTTCCTTTAGAAAAAGCTCTGAAATATTTATTGTCAAGACATTTCCATGGATTTGACGTAAATATGTATGTCGCAATATGTATCGTATCATGACCTTGCTGTATTGTTTCACCCCTAGCAGTAAGTGATCAAAACATTTGAAAACTTCCAGGTCAGATTAGACACAAAGATGTTCCACTAAATGAGAGATGACATGATTGAACTCATGCTGTCTACCGGTACCCTGGTCAGATAACTTGAGAATATTTTTGACGGTCCAAAGGAATTCAGTAAACATGGCTTTTTAGCTTGAATCAGGAAAAACATACAGAGTACATATTACTCTGAAGGAATTAGGATACTGATCTTGTGACCATGGTGACTATAGAAAAAATGATCTCATTAAAATCAGACCTCCTAGTCCAATACGATACCTTTGACAAACTCTCATAGGGAGGCTGTGTCTGGTGGACTTTCTGATCAGCCAATCAGTGTAGAGGATTCAAAAGTCTCTGTATGAGCCAGTCGCATCCCTAATACTTGTATCTCAGGGCTAGGACGAGTCCAAATTTATTACCCGGGTACCTACCCCCTATTACCCATCCCTACCCGGGTACCCACTGTAGGTCTGTTTTTCCGGAGTCTTGGCATAAGCTGCTTAGATACACTCATAAATGGATCTGATCATGCATACACTGAAGTTGACAGAAGCTGTATCTTTACTCAAACAAATAAAACTCAGAAGCAATGTGTGCATGGTCAGAAAGAAATGTGAACATTTAGCAACTTTTTGTGTAACCATGGAGTTTGTTATCATCATTAAACAATATATCACATGACTAACCACGGGTCTGGGTTGTCCTGTGGGTACCCGGGTCCTACTCCGAACCAACCCTACCCAAGTACCAGAGTTACCCGTCACAGCCCTATCGGAAATGCTCATGATATCAATCACTGGATTGTCTAGTCCAGACTTGATTATTTACAGACCGCCGTCATATAGCTGGAATATTGCTGGGTGCGGCATGAAACAAAAAACAAACAACTTATCGGAAACGCACACGAACAGGAGGTTCCTAATGCAAAATGATAAAGGGCAAGCTATTATATATTAGTGGATATATTAAACACCCTTTCATGTCTGACCGCCATGGCATCTACACCCAAAGGCATATACGATAGAATGCCACTGAGTGTTTTGTGTGGGTTTTCTTCTGTTACAATCAAATTTTGGAATTGGTCTTCAAAGTTTGGTAAGGGTTCACCTGACACAACCTCCTATAATGAGTTGTTAAATCTTCAATCAGAGGGGGATCGTAAATAAGAAAACGATCTGATCTTAATGAGACTGGTTAAAAATTGTCATAGTGCTTCACAAACAATAGACATGTTTTAGAGCAGGTGCTTGATGTTTTTCAGAACAATGGTGCCAACAGTTAGTGGACGAAAGGGATGAAAGTTGGAGAGAGAGGGAGACTACATCCACTGTCTACTGACTATCCAGCAGGGATCAGAGAACTGTACTGTTACCGTAGTGCTATAGAACAAAGCTGCCATCATCTCTAGATCAGCTGAAAGGGGCGGAAATACAATATGTGTTAATAATATTAATAGCTCAAGAAAACAGAAGTCCTTACAAATAATCAAGTCTTGTACCCATATATGCATTGACAACTTATCAGCAAATGACCACAAAACCAGTAACCATAAAGATATGAAAAGTTCAAAATAACGTTTTTCATCATTGCGCAAGTCATTTAAACAATGAACAATTAACAATTGCCACAAACATTTTTGAACAGGGCGGTAAAAGATTTTAATTTTTGTCTGGTTATGATATTAGTTCCATGATTGTGAAGGTGGTCTGGGTTTATCTCCCCTTGGTTAAACTCAAGCTCCTCACAGTGATAGCCAGTTCCCAGAGCCTCAATACTATCGCTGCTACCAGTAACAACTCCCCACAGTGCTAGGGGCATATAACCATACCCTTTTTGTTTACAAACAAGCAATGACTACCTTGATAAAAAAATACTTTTCCTGCATTTGTCCGCAATTTGAAATTCTATTTTATTTATACTTTCATGCAGTAGTGTGGTTAGAATGCAGGGGAGTTGGGTTTCCGTTAGTCCACAGTAGTGACAGCGATGTTACTGGGAGGGTAACAAAAGAGTGTGGGATGGAGCTCGGCCTAAAATAATGTGACCATGTTTGAATGAGTTTGAACAAGTTTTCTCCCAACTTAGAAAAAGAACCATCTACAATTCCAAACCAAGTAGTCTTGGCAGGCAAGTTGGGAGAAACTGTTATTTTCTTCTAAACAGGGACACCATGCGATAATGTTAAACTAAGCATTAAAGCCTCTTCTTTATTGGTCCTGTTATCAGTGAAATACAAGTCACCTCACCCTAGCCATAACCTTAGTTTTAACAACATTAACAGGAATTGCAAATTTGTAATTCCCATTAGGGAATTTTCACCGACATTTACTGAAGACTTAGAGCCGAATATCGGCCTCTGACATGTCTGAGGAGGTCTTTATCAATCCCTGGAGCCTGGTTATTTCTGAAGTAAAATATTTGGTCATGGCCTTACATCTTTTAACAGAGAAAACCAAAAGGAAAAAGGATGCATGATTCTTGTTACATTAAACACCCTTAATTTCTTTACTAGTTTTTCCGTATTACTTTAAATTGACAAAACTAAAATCAAAATGGCATATATTCAGAAATAAAGACTGACCCTATTTGCACAAAAAGTTGGTGCTATGCCTATAACTTCCATACAATAACCATACCAACCATGGTTAGTTCTGCTATCAGGAATTCCTCTATGCTTGCCCAGAGGCTGATATTCAGCCCCAAGTCTGTAGCAAATGGAACAATAGGAATACAAATGTTCCTGCTAATCTAGTTATAGCGATGTCCCGTCCTTGCAGGGACTTGTACCTCATTGATAACATGGCCAATAAACATGACAACGAGGAAGAGGCTTCAATACTTCAATGAATGCAACGCTCAGAGTACATTGGTCATGTTGGTAAAATAGCTCTGAATTAATAAATCAAAAATCCCAATATGTAGCAAAAAAGAAATTTTGTCACCCAGTTTGCATGCTATGTGCATTTAGTTTGGAATCCTAGTTATATCCCCAAATAAACAGTTGTGTACCATCAACCTGGGAAAGGGCCTCCCTACATAAACAAGCATACAAACTCCTACTGCCGCCATGACCCTAACATGAGATGTGCAGTAAAGCTTTTCGCATGTAAAGGAAAGTAACTGCGAGCTATATTCACCCACAGTTTTTTTAAGTATAAGGAGTTTTTCATTTTGGGGGGAAATGGAAATAAAAACGAAACATGCGGCAGACTTTATGATGATGCGAGCGGTGCCTGAGAACCAAGACTATTTTTATTTTAAGCCTAAGCACAATAATTCTAAACACCCCAGACCCAATCGCCACAACTCTTCATTTCAGAAGTGAGATCATGATCTCCATGTCTTATCACTAATCATGCAAGCTTTGCACAGATCTTCTCTCGCTGGTGTTCTTGAACTCTTGAACTCAACAACCAATCAAATGCCTCTTCAGAACTAGAGTTAAGCGTAGATTTACATTCCAAATTGCACCCTCATACATTGTCTACCAGCGCAACATCAAACCTCTCTGTGTCCCGAACTGGGGACAAATCCTTACAAGGTCATGCAAGTGAACCCTGAGCTCATTTGGCCTGCAATCTAAGGGAAGAATGTGTAGATTCTTGAGCCAATCAGACATCAGCTTTCTAAAAAGATTCGGCTTCACTTCTTCTTTTCTTTCTTGATTAAGAAATATTGATTTGTCCAAGAATACAAATATTCCCTCGACGGTACTCCATTTTTGGTGTTTAGACCCTGGTCCTCAAAATCGACAGAGTATAAAATATCCACAATATAATAACTCACTTATTTAGCTACATTTTGAAGTTGTATTATATTGTTTGAAATACAGAAACCAGATATGCTGGTCTGAATACTTCACTTGTACCGAGAATTTAGAAGCCTTGATGCTGATTGGCTGATTAGAAAGTTCACTTGATGCGACCTTCGACAGAGGTGTCATCAGATCTTCACTCAGAGAGGCATCTTTCAGAGTAAAAGGTCTGATTTTAATGAGATTGGATCCCTCAAACTGAATTAGAAGATTTTAATATATGAAATTTTAACTGGATGTCTTATTCAGAAGTTTTCCTGTTGTATCTGAGACAGTACGTAACACAGCGAGGTGAGTGTTGGTGCTACACTGCTTCTTTCAATCATTATTTTATTGGGCAGCTGCGCTTAGAGTCGTATCATTAAAACTGGACTCACAATGAAGCTACAGCAGCGAGTGGGTGCAGGGTTGTATCATAAAAGAACAGAGACATAATGCCCTTGATAATGGAGGATGAGAGTCAAGGATGGGGTATTTAGTATCTGGAATAAATTGTGGAGGGGTGGTTGAGAAGTCTTGTGTACTGTTGAACTAACCTGTATTAATCCAAAAGCGTCAGTATCTGGTTCCACTTGCTCCAATCTACTCGAACCAATAGCACTAGTATCACTACTCTCAGCCTGAAAATGTTAAACAAAGCAATGTCATGTGTTATCAGTAAAGAAATCAGAAAAGATATTGTGATTCTGAATTCATGTTCAGTTCAGACCTGCAATGTTAGAAATTAAGAGGGACCTGGGCAATGCTGGTGACCTTGATGAATCTAGAATGGACATACCGTATTCGACGTAATAAGCGCCCACGGCCATATTAGCTAATATATTGGCAAGTGAACAATCCCAATTAGCACCCCTTCCGATTGATCAATGTACACAAGACTTATTTATTCATGTATAATACGCACTCGTGTGTTATATGCACCCTTAATTATGGGCAATTAAATTCTGGAAAAGTATATCCGTCGTATATAAACAGTTCAAACCGTCAGCATAAACCACAAAATTTATCATTCAACTATGTTTTTTCCACCAAAATGATATTCTAATAAGAGCCCCCTATTTCTTATTTTGAGAGCGCCCTGGGCGCGTATTACAGCGAATACGGTATTCTAAAATGAGCCCTTATGATGGCTACATCTGCATTGTTAACATACCATTATGACAACGGGTTTCATCCTATATTTCCAACAATGCTTGATTGGTTGGTTTGTTGTTTAACGCTGCACTCAGCAATATCCAAGCTACATGACGGCGGTCTGTAAATAATCGAGTCTGGACCAAAAAATCCAGTGATTGACATCATGAGCATCGATCCACGCAATTGGGATCGATGACATGCATCAACCAAGTCAGCGAGCCTGACCACCCGATCCCATTAGTCGCCTTTTACGACAAGCATAGTCACCTTTTACGCCAAGCATGGGTTGCTGAAGACCTATTCTACCCCGAAACCTTCACGGGTCCCCCAACAATGCATATCATGATACTGATCCACTTATGCAGGGCTCAGTTTAAGGAACTTGATTTAACTTGAACCAGGTGCATGTTTACATGAAAACCGAGTTACGCCAAACAAAACCAATTGTACCCTGGTCCCATAAATATATCAAAGTCGATATAGGTTGGTCTGCTGCCAGTGTCACACAACGTAATGACGCATTGCTGTAAAACAATAGTTTGATGATGTAAGGCCCAAGTGATTAGTGATATTGTAATGTAAATTTAGTTTAGAGATTTTTAGTGTGTTCAAAGATCGATTTTATGCGACAAGTAAGGGTTATAGTCAGATTCAAATTTTGAAATTGTATTTACATCCATTTGATGCATGTAAACATAAATTTGTTTGTGTGTTTGTGTGTTTGTTGTTTAAAGCCGCACTCAGCAATATTCCTGTTATATGACAGCAGTGTGTAAATAATAAAGTCTGGACCAAACAATCCATTGATTGACATCATGAGCATCGCTCTACGCAATTGGGATACAATGACATGCATCAACCAAGTCAGTGAGCCTGACCACCCAACGCCTCTTGGTCTTATGACAAGCATAGTCGACATAAATATTAGATTCCTTATTTCAATAATAAGTTTCATTTGTGCATGTTTAATATAGCAAACTCGAGCCATGTTATGCTTATACATGTAGGCATACATTTTTCACTTAAATGCTATAGCGAGGTTGTTCAGTGAGTGAAGGTGAAGTTGAGTACAAGGTATGAACATGACGATCCCAACATGGCAACATGTGGCCTGCTCCCTTGATCGATTTCCAAAGAACTTTGGTGATGTCAAGTCATTACACATGCTCAGGAACCTTAAGGGCGGTGGGGTAGCCTAGTGGTTAAAGAGTTCTCGTCACGCCGAAGACCCAGGTTCAAATCACCACATGGGTACAATGTGTGAAGCCGATTTGTGGTGCCCCCCCCCGTGATATTGCTGCAATATTGCTATTGTGGCGTAAAACCATACTCATTCACTCAGAAACCGAAAGCTTCTTATAGATGATATCGACCACAATAAACCATTGACACCCTGAGTGCATTTCTTACCAGAATCAAAATCTTGATGATATGTAACATGCAATTACAATTTGGATCAATTTAAAGATTCAAAGAGACATATTTGTTTTACCCACAGGACTCCTGATGGAAATTCTTGTCCAGGAAAACCCTGACAGAAGACATGCAGTTAAGCTTTGACTGACAACGAAGGAGACCCTTATAAATTAATTGGCAGGGTGTCAAATCGCTGAACTATGCAGTGTCTTATCTGGAAACACCTATAGATCAAAGTCCAATACATAATGCTTTCATGAAAAAAACCTAGATATGTAAACACGAGGGTGAATGGGGTTATACCAGTCAGCCAGGTTACCATGGTTACAACTACCAGGGATTGATCAAGCCCTGCCCAGGGGCCAATATTCTGTCCCAAGTCTGCAGCCAATGTCAGAAAAATTCCCAAATTGGAATTAAAATCCTTCCCAGTTCATGTCCATACACATGATATAGTAATAACCAGTGATATGTCCTCATAGGGTGGTGTGGTAGCCTAGTGGTCAAAGTGTTCACTCGTCATGCCGAAGACCTGGGTTTCCCACATGGGTAGATTGTGTAAAGCCCATTTCAGGTGTCCCCCCTGTGATATTGCTGGAATATTGCTAAAAGTGGCGTAAAACCATATTCACTCACTGAGTCCTTGTTGAGACTTGTACTTCACTGATAACATGGCAAAAAACGTCAAAAGAGGAAGAAGATTTAATGCTAAGCTTTAGATTATTGAACCGACGGCAATGCTGATAATACAAAGATAAAAAACCTCTGAATAAATGGAAATAAAAACTTTAGAAAATTCAAACAATAAGTAAAACAATCATTTTTTCCCGAGCTCGCCTGTCAAACACACTTATTGGCTTAGTTTGGAAACCCAGATAAACCCCTGATTACCATGATTACCGATACTTGGAGTAGCTGTCCTACAACTAAAATATGGCAAAACTCAGGAAGTTATAATCCCTCCAGATAAGAACTACACTCGAGAGGAGCACAGTGGCATCTAACACTGAACACAAAGACAGCATAAATAATATATACCTCAACTTTACATAGGGATAATTAGACATTTAATTCTATTTAAATACACACTTGACAAATTAGGACTAACTTTTTTGTGTCATAGAAACATAAAAGTATACCTATAATAAGTGGAGCAGTTGGACTCTGACTCGACTGCTGAGTGAATAAATATTGTGTAATGTCGCAGTCAGCAATATCCTAGTTTTATGATGACTGCCAGTCATAAACGGACCAGACAAACCAATGATCAAAAGCATGAGCAACAATCCACAGCGTTCGGGTACGAGGACACACTAGCAACAAACCCCATTTTCGTCAGCTGTAAAGCAATACAAGGTACTGAAGACAAATAATCTACAATAAATAAATTACAGTTGTTTTAGACCATAGGGATATTTACTATAGTTTGTCCTCCACTGGCTGTGATAGGGACCAAAGGATATATCGGCCACTGCCAGCCCTTCATGTTATACTACAAAGCAGAAAATTAATACGCAAAAATGCATTTAATCCCGATAACAATTTGTACTATTTACAAGGGCCACAACTACGCCTAAAAACGTACTACCAACCACTATCTCGGTAGCAGCGACAAACAACTCCTTCTGATAACAGTCTGTACTATCCACATAGGGCACAACTACTCTAGATACAGTCAAGTCTTGTTAATCGGACACTCGTTAATCCGACAATTTGCTTTATCTGACACAAATGATGGGAACCGATTAAATCAGTGTTATTTAGACCCGTTAATCTGACAGTCTTGCACTCAATCCGACACACCTAATTTGTAACAAATTTCCGAAATCACTCATTCACTCAGTCTCGTTAATCCGACACAGTGATCAGCATACTCCGTTGTCATCTGCCCGTGAGTACGCAGCCCGTGTTTTGATGCGAGACGAGTCGGCTTGCTGCATTTATAAACTTTCAAAAGTATTTTGTATCAGTCAACAGAGTTTTGTGTTAACATTTAGAGGTTGCACAATTAGAAAACATATTCTGCTAACAATGTAACATAACAATATGAATATTTCATTTTTCATTTTGTTTTTTACGTGTTTTTATCGTTATCTATCATGCAGTTGTCCGATTTTCAATCACGAACGTTGATACAACATAATTTTGTTTATCTGACAAGCTCGTTAATCTGACATAATCATATGCAACAAATAATGTCGGATTAACGGGACTGGACTGTAACTTACTACACGCTAGAAATTTAGAAGGACATTTTTTTCCCTTAACTTACCACAACCAAAAATTATATTAGCCGAATAAAAAGAGGTTATCACGCGAGTGTGTTTGGGGATGGTAAATATCCAGTATCAGGAATAAACATTATATATACCGAGCATTGGCGAGCTAAATACATAGTGTTTATTCCTAATACAGGATATTTACCATCCCCAAACACACAAGCATATATAATATAATGTCATTCTTCAATTTTGTGCAGGAAAATCTCTTTCCATCTCTCACAAACATTACCAAAACATTGCAAGTTTTCCTGGAATGTGTGCATTACTATATATTACATGTACATCAGAGGGTAAGTGATGTGTCAGTCAGACAGTGACAGTAGCCAATATAGTTCCAAATGAAATCTGTTTCCTATACAGTGGCGTAACTACATATATGCAAAACAACAATTGCCTGCACAATTTTTTTTCTGTGCCTTTTGGGGCAATCCATCGGTCTGTCCCAATAGAGTAACTTCCCTTTATCAAAGGGAAGCTACTCTAACCCCTGAGACGTCACGATCACAGTCAGACATTGTTGACAGTCATCCTGTCCTGTCATAACGTTGCGAAGTGCAGTCAGATGTACACACAGCGACAAAATGAAACAAGGTAACAATTCGAACATATTTCAGCCAAAGCCAACTGTTCTAATTTGTGATAAAGGTTCCAAGCTGCACAGGTATACAAGCATAGATATGGAAACTGAACCCGCTTGGTTAGTGCCCTCGCAAAATTGTTTCGCAATTTATATCTCCAAAGTTGCCAAAACTTGTAAAATGCCTAAGCTTTCCCATTTTAAATCAACACATGCTTAATATCCATAACACTCTGTAGTGTTTTGGGTACTATGAATTTTACAATATTCAGGTTATGCATTTGTAGAAAAAAATACCATAAGTAGATTTTAAAATCGTGGAAGAAATGACACACAGACAGTAAGCAATGACAGAATGTGAATCATTGTGTTGTTTAATTGTCTTTTATGCATGGATAAGTCATGTGACACTGTCATACCACCGTCTTTTTTTTGAGCAGGGTGTTTATATGGTGGGTTTTTTCAATATTTCCTGACAAGAGACAGTTTTGCTCACCACTTCTAGACAAATATTTCTCTGTCCTACTGAAAACAGGATGAAAACACACGCACGCTGTAAAAAGGCGAGGATAATTGGTCCGTGGCAATAACAGGTGGCAAAATGGCAATTCAGTTGTCATGCTGACGAGACTAAGTTGTGATTTGTCAGACAACATAAACTTGGTGGTGCCGGTAAACAAAACTACTGCGCATGCAGACCCTTACTGTATATTTTAATGCACCATTTTTTAAAATTATGCGTGAATTGTGCATGGCGCCTGACATTCCCAGTCACTGCTAGTGCTACCCACCACAATGGAGGCCTCCTGCTTGCTGTGTTTGATTGCTTCTACAGATATCTCCGCCTCTGTTACAAGAATGGAAGATGCTGGAGGGCCAGGAGCAGATTCCAAATGACTGAAAAATACATCAATACATCAAGTAGTCAGGTTAATATGACATGTCAAAAGTGGTTTGTTTGTTGTGTAACGCCGCACTCAGCAATAATCAAGCTATATGACCACGGTCTGTAAATAATTGAGTCTGGACCAGACAATCCATCGATTAATATCATGAGCATCGATCCATGCAATTGGGATTCAAAAGTGAATGAGTGAGTTGGGTTTAAGGCAGCTTTTAACAGCATTCCAGTTATATCCCGGCATGTCAGCAAAATGTGGGAGGAAAGCCCAAAGTGATGCAGGTCTCAGACAATAACCACGTTGATGAAACCCATGTGCAACGGCATCATTATGTGCTGATTTCGGCAGACTGCAGGATTTGCAGAGAATGTGTATCCTCAACTGGGGGGCGACATATTTTTCAAATATTTTCATGTTTATAATCAATGTGCGCAAGTGATTTGATGCACTTTGTGAGGTAAGACCCGCTTTATTATAATAAAGATCTTGATTATCCATGAAATTGTCTTGACTGTGTGCCGCCATTTAGTTTGAAGCAAATGCAAGTGATATGAGAAGTAGAATCTGATTGGTCAATAGGAGGGACATAGAAAGGACATAACTCATTATAGCCACTAGTATGACTAGTGGCGCTATGATCGAGCCAGGAAATAGCAGCCTAGATCAGCAAAGGTGGAAACTGGACTCTTACAGTCAGTTAACTCCCTTGCCTCGAGATGGAGTTTGACTGTTATACGTCAACAATGACTCAACATACTGTTTTCACAATATAAATTCCAAGGCCGCAGAAAGCATCAAAGGGAAACGAAAAATCATGCATATAGTTAAACTTATTTTAAATATATATGGTAAAAGCTGAAAATAACATGATATTAGGAATATATTATTCCAGGTAAATTAATAGTTTAAGATCTTCCAAACATTGCATCAAAATTCTTTAAAGTTATATTCATTGGGTATTTTTAAACCAGTAGATTAGTACTAAGAAAATATGAGTACAGCTGATTGTTATTTCTGGATTAGTTTATGAGACAATTCACAAAGTTATCTTTTTTTCTGCATATAAAAAAATGCCTAGCAGAACAGAAAATACAATATAAATGGTAAATCATCATGTTCAGTGGTAATTTATCTTAAATTTAACATTTTTTTACCAAGTTTGTTATCACCTGTTCGTTTACCTAAATTCTCTGAAGGGATACTATGTAGTTTTTATTATACAAAATATTATATTGATCGATAGTGTCACCCTTTCAAGTCATGTACACATTAATCAGCAACAGAAACACATGTAAGCTTAGCGGCAACTCATTGTACACCTTTGTTATAATAATATACAGCTTCATATTTTTCATGCAGCACAGCAAACATAACACCAAACACAAGTCAAACCAGACGAAATTAAGTCCATAATAAGCAAATTTTGAACTTGGACTGATGTTTCCCTTTAAAGAGGGTTCTGCAATTGTATTTAAATATTGGAACCCATCAACATTAACATTAAGTCTATGACAGAGGCCTCTTGAGTTTCATGCTTTACTTCGAAAATTGGTTTACCATGTTCATCAAATGGAAATACTTCCACCCGTATCCCCGCTCCAAATTTTTTTATGTAGGCATTGCCGCTCAATGCTTTTAATCACATATATTTTTAAAGACAAAAGTCTTACCCATCAAATATATATGGCTTCATCATGATCAGTTAAGAACATGAACTTATCACCACTACAATTGGACCAGGCTACATAATACAAAAAAATAAACAACTCGAAACTAAATCGAACTAAGGATCCCTTTTGTCAACTTTTAAAATTATATGCATGGTTTCATACAACCCTATTCTACCTTGACTTCCTCGCATTCAGTTTCCGTATACGCATGATCGGGTAAGTTACTTTCAGATGTTGGGTCTACGTGGGAACAATATGCGCAATTCTAAAACAAGAGCTTATTTTTGGTCGTGCAATCACAAACGAGTTGGACAGATTTATTTTCATGAGGACTTTGAAAGTTATCATTGCGTGTCCTCCGTAAAACAAACAAAACACTAATAAATGCACGACCATCAACACACGAAAACAGGTGTCCCATCCGGATTGGTCACAAACGTAAACGGGGACCTGCTTCGGGATAAACACCAGTTCACTGCTTGGCTGTGCCTTGTCAAGTTTCGTAAACGTAAAACCTTTTACACCATTCTCAACTACTTACTCTTTCACAGTGTCGGCACCGTTTTGCATTATGGGTTCTGGCATAAAGAGCAGTTTTGTGTCTTTTCCTGAAAACGCATCACTGCCCACGCGCCATTTTGTAGCTTCCGCCGGAATTTTGATAAAGAGGAGACAACTCTTATCACCTTATCATCGACAAATCGTTGCTGGGGCAATCAGTGGTATTTATGGAGGGCCCAGGTGGAATATAACTCCAAATAATAATAAAAAGTAACTATTCTCAAAGGCTATGTTTTTTATACGGAATATAGCACAAAAATAAAATCACTTTATACTCAAGACAACAGGATGTAAATACAATGTAAAAAAACATCGTGAGGCGAACGTAAAATATTAACTGACATACATGGTGTCCCCACGGACACGCTACACTTTGATCTTCCAATAACTCAAGTACTATAATAAAATCACAACGAGACAATATTTACAGGAAACTATAAACATAATATTGCTCTTCGTACATTTTCCAAGAGATAATATGTTTTCTAATACATAATTCTATCAGATGTCTATGGTCGCAGTGCACAAAAGAGGAGCTTAATTTAAAAATAAATATATATATATATATTGTATTCTGGGCAGATGTTAATATTCATCAACCAGTGGCATACACATATTTGACATAGTGTGTCAATCAGACTCACTGTCTAATTGACATCAATGTCAATCTTTCAAAATAAACGTCACTTTTTCAGATTCTCCCGCAAAACTTTGTCTAATAAATTAGTTTCTTCCGAAAATTACACGAATATTGTGCATTTTAATAGACTCCTCTGAATCTCCCTGTTGAAAAAGCAACATGATTGTAACGTCAGCGCCAACAATTTAGGTTTTTCACAAATCATCTGAAAACTACATTTACCACATTATTAGCTACCACTATAGTAGTTTAGGCCCCGAAACGGATGTAACGGGTGAAGCGAAAGAGTTTGTTTATTTGTTTGTTGTTTAACGCCGCACTCAACTCCGTAAATAATCGAGTCTGGACCAGACAATCCAATGATTGACATCATGAGCATCGACCCACGCAATTGGGTTCGATGACATGCATCAACCAAGTCAGCTTGCCTGATCAACCGATCCCGCCAGTCACCTCTTACGACAAGCATAGTCGCCTATTGCGGCAAGCATGGGTTGCTGAAGACCTATACTACCCCGGATCTTCACGGGTCCTTAAGCGAAAGTGACCCATATGATTCATTCTATTGTCATCTGGCCATATCACGTGGACATTGATGACCGACATTGAGAAATAACTGATCAACGATAAGGTTGTCGAAATACATTGTATATATGCACTTTTCCTGTCATTGTTCATGTACATCCGTTATAAGCTCATGTCTATCCTTCAGTTGGGGCACGATTGATCCAGATTTTTTGTGATGAAAATAAATAAATTCGTCTTTAATGCCAGTTTGACGTAATCACCATTGTCTTGGGGAAATGTTCCACTGGTACATACAACGCTTTATGTGGAGACAAAGGTTACAGTGAGCATCTGTTCATGCCACCGGTAAAACAACGTATTCTCTCTATATATACCGACATGGCACCGTCGGAGTAATTTGCTAAGCAGAGTAATGTCCGTAATTTGCTATGCAGAGTTATGTCCCTTGGTCATATCAGGATCCGATTACCAGTGGGTTCATAGTCCAGAGTCTCCCTGACCTTTGGTTTCTTCATATCTAACCTTTGTTCTACGACCGCTTAACATTGGACTTTCCTCCTGCACATTAAGATGATCCTTGATATGACTGAATAACTATATCAAGCGGCGTAAAACCCAACTCACTCACTCAAGACTCACTCAGCCATTCACTCGCTCACTCACTCATCCCCCTATTTTCCTTAGTTGTAGCACTCATAAACCGGATATAGTCATCAAGCTGTAGATATACGTCATAAAAACTCTCAATAACACGAAAGCCCCGTGGGGATTCCAGGTTAAAATTAATCTATGCTGGTCGTAAGAGGCGACTTAAAGAACCAGGTGGTCAGACTCAGAGACTAGGGAGATTGCATGTCATCGTACTCCGACGGCGCCAATCGTGGCTCATAATATCAATCACTGCACATAGGGTGTCTGTTCGAGGATTGAGTTTACCAGGCTGTTATTAGACCGTCGTTTTATAGCTGAAGTGTGTGTGTATGGTTTTTCGCCGCTTTTAGCAATATTCCAGCAATATCACGGCGGGGGACACCAGAAATGGACTTCACATATTGTACCCATGTCGAGAATCGAACCCGGGTCTTCGCCGTGACCAGTGAACGCTTTAACCACTACGCTACCCGATCGCCCCTTGTCACTGAAATATTGCTGAGTGCGGCGTTATATAACACATAAACATGCATGGTGTTGCTTGTGTGTACTAGCACTGCATGGGCTGACATTAAGTCCCAGAAACAAGGTCATCTTATTCAAAAATATATGTCTACAAAATAAAAAAAATCAAATCAAAATGGCGCCCAGAACATGCTTACGTTCAGGATCTGAGGTAATTTAGACTTGACAGACCATTCTAGTCTTCACTCGGATCCATTTTTTAAATTTATTTTCTGGAGTCTGGGAGACAGACTTTAGCACACGGTACAGCCTCGGTTTTGGGGAACAAAATGGCAAGGATATTAATTCACAGTCAGTACACTGTATTAAAGGAAAGGGCTCTTACAAACTATATATAGAATACGTTGTTTTACCAATGATATGATCAGATGCTCACTGTAGCCTTGTCTCCACATAAACCGTTGTATGTACCAGTGGAACGTTTCCCCAAGACAATGGTGATTACGTCAAATTGGCATTTAAGACGAATTTATTTATTTTCATCACAAAATCCCATTCTGAAATTGGAAGGCCCTATAATTGGGTTCATATATTCAGTGCAGAAAACCGCACGGGGAATGCATACGGTATCGAATGTCTGCTTTATAAAAGTTTAATTAATTTTCAATGCAGAAAACGTTCTGGAACCTTCGCGATACTCAGTTTGGCATTATAACAGTGAATATACCGTGACGTGTATAAACACCCTCGGTTACCGACAAACAATCACTTGGTGGCTATAAAATGTTTGTTTCATCACTTCACAACACGTTGTTGCAACTGTGTGTCAGAATCAGGAAGTCGGGGAAACATTTCCTGTTTATGCAGGAAGTCGTTTAATCGTTTATTGGAACTTTCGTGCATCGTATGATGCGGCGTGCCAGCAAGTGGACGAACACACGTGCGTAAATCAGCGGAAATAAGACAGGTTGTTTGTATGGCAGTCAAAAAGTAAAAATGTCAAACAGTCTGTCAGTAGTAGAACATGTGTTTATAATGGCGTTCTGATGGAGCCCTGATAGAGATTTCCCAAAAAAGCCTTTCCCATTGACGAAAGTTGACGTTTTTCATGCTACAGTCTAACCAGACCAGCGTGGCCCTTTGAGCGTGACTATGCAGCCCTGGTCGAGGATTCCTTATAGACCCACTGTATGTTAGGGCTGAAAATGGTAAAACAAATACTTTATGCAACAAATATAAAAACGATTATGTAAAAATATACTTGTTTTCATTTTATCACTGTTTTTGGTAATTTAAGTGCATTGTTTTGAAACAACATTTTGTTTACTTGCATTCTAGTCATTACTAGGAGGGGTCCCGTCACCTAAGGCGCCGCAATGCGTCCCTTTGGCTACACTAAAACCTATGATTGTGGATTCGAATCCCGGTTCCCCCCGTTTAAGTTTCTAGGTTTGTCAGCACCATACCTGTGCTCGTGGGTTTCACCAAAGTGGTAAACGTCTGAGACCTGCATCACTTCGGGCTTTCATCCCACATTAAGCTGACACGCCATGATGTAACTTGAGTATTGTTCAAAGTGGCGTGAAAACCACTTACACACACACCTATACAAAGAGTGCGACCCGTGAAGATCCGGGTTAGAATAGGTCTTCAGGAACCCATGCTTGCCGTAAAAGGCGACTATGCTTGTCTTAAGAGGTGACTAACGGGATCGGGTGGTCAGCCATGGCCAATGCTTAATGCTGGTTATATAATACAAACTCTATGACTAAGGAAGTTGATACAGAAAGTACTAATGTCAGTCAGTGTAGGCTACATCAAATATAAATGTTGTTAGGTATTATCATCCAATCAGGAAGTGGCATAACTGGGAAAGGGTTACATGTCAATTTAAAGTTATTTAAAAATTGACTTCACTATTTTTTTGTTTTTGGGAATAAATTGAAAACTGGTGTGTACTGGTTTTTATGTTTTTACCATTTAAGCACAAAAACATATTGAGTAGAATGAGTCTTCAGCAAACCATGCTTGTCGTAAGAGGCGACTGACGGGATCGGGTGGTCAGGCTCGCTGACTTGGTTGATGCATGTCATCGTATCTCAATTGCTTGAATCGATGCTCATGATGTCACTCACTGGATTGTCTGGTCCAGACTCAATTATTTACAGACCGCTGTCATATAACTTGAATATTTCTGAGTGCGGCGTTAAAAAACAAACAAACAAACAAGGAGTGAATTACCCTTAAGCACATTGGGCATTGTCTGTTTTCAAGGACGCTCTGGGCCCACTTGCACAAAGCGATCTTAGCGCCAAGATGATCTTAACTCCCATACTTTAACATAGGCTTAGAATAGTTGTAGCGCTAAGATCGCTTTGTGCAAGTGGGCCCAGGACAGTATTTCAGTTATATCACGGCATGTCGCCTAAATGTGGGAGGAAAGCCCGAAGTGTTGCAAGTCTTAAGCGTTTTCCACTACGGTGAAACACACAAGCACGGGTATGGTGCTGACAAACCGAGAAACTCCATGATGGCAAACTGGGACTTAATCCATGATCAGAGGTTTCTGGGACGCCTGAAGGACGAATTCTGCAAGAGCGAACTGCGAATGGCCATCAGTGTTAGTTTCAAATACGACTCTGATCAAAACATGCAGACAACACTACAGACAGTGGAGCATGTAATCCCTCTTTTTCAAAAGGACTATTTGCATGCTTCTCTAAATTAAGTCGGTATCAAAGCAACAGGTAGGTCAGTGTATCCTTCCACACCGGTAGGCTACTCGACTCGCTGTATCTGTAATACACAACTCCAGGATGTAAAACCGCCCCACAAAGGTGGGTAATTGCGTCATCTTCATTGAATGCCAGACCCAAAAAACATTATCGTCGGGAACGCAGGCATGCATAGGTTAGTGCAGCCGAACTAGGTCTAGTTGGGTTAAGTGCTTCGTTGAAGAATAGAAGTTCTACTTGCGTCAATTGGGGGAAGCGTGCACAATTTGAAGAGTTCTTTGGTGAAAGTCAGTTTCCCGCAGAGGCACGTTAAAAAAAGCTTGTTCTGGGCCTTAATCATTTAACCGCTGTCTTTGTCCACGACGCTTAGTACGGCATATAGAACAAAAATACAATCACTTTATAATGAAGACGTCGGGGTGTGAATATAATGTACAAAACACTTTGAGGCGAACGTTAAATATTACATGACATACACGGAGTCTCTAACGAAAATCTACACTTTGATCTTCCAATAACTCAAGTTCAATTGTTATCACAACGTCACAGCATGATAAGATTTCCTCACATCGAGCTACCCGACAAAGGTGTGTATTCGCTTCGCTTCCTAATTACAGAAGGGGCGGGGCCACTATAGCTGTGAAAATGAAGTATGCCTTCACTATCCAACGATTTCACACAAAGGTCCATTGTGCATAGGCTACGTGGCATAGGCTCCGTACTTCGGGGTGCAGATATAAGCCTAGACTAACAGTAAATCAGTCCCAGAAATAAAGTTATCTTATTTAAATATATATCTAAAAATAACAAAATATAATCCAAATGGCGCCCAGAACAATGCTTAATTTCAGGATCTGCGACAATCTTTCTTACTTTATTCTCCAATGTCTGGAAGACGGACTATACTAACATGAGCCAAATATAGTCCTCTAAACTATCACAGCGCAAAGACGATCTTTAACACGCATACTTTGCATTGACTTGCGACAGTCGTAAAGCTAAGATCGATATGTGGAACGGTTTTGTTTGTTTGTTTGTTGTTTAACGCCACACTCAGCAATATTCCAGCTATATGACGGCGGTCTGTAAATAATTGAGTCTGGACCAGACAATCCTGTGATTGACATCATGAGCATCGATCCACGCAATTGGGATCGATGACATGCATCAAACAAATCAGCGAGCCTGACCACCCGATCCCGTTAGTCGCCTCCTAAGACAAGATAGTTGCCTCTTACGACAAGCATGGGTTGCTGAAGACCTATTCTACCCCGGATCTTCACGGGATCTGACCCGAGTGAATATGATTGGAGTTAAGTAATCCCGAGCCTTTGACGAGGGACTTACAGCATTCATTCACGAAGGATAGTTAATCCGTTATTCCGTTAGAGGCTTTTTACGACAAGCATAGTCGCCTTTTACGGCAAGCATGGGTTGCTGAAGACCTATGCTACCCCGGATCTTCACGGGTCCTTATGTGGAACGAAGTCCAGAAGATTAGCTCTGTCACTTGTGCACATGGTAGAAGGTTAGCGTTGGGTCTTAAACAACAAATATTAGACTGAATATTTATTTTCAAATTCACAAAGTTCATTCGGTGTCTTGAGAATATATGGATGAAATATGTTTATCGTGGTGTCCCGCTGCCGTGCTTCGCTTACCATACCTTCAGTCACTAGTTTGCCAGGTCCCCACCATAAGGGTAGAATGATCGTGTGTAATAACTTTCCAATATTAATGTACACATGTGATTTGTAGCGATTCTCAATGCTGATTGGTCAATTGAAGCCACGTGACATCACAGTGCTCGTTTGTTGAAAAATACGATAAAGAGGATATTCCATGTTTCCAGTGAAAATATCAGCTTCTCTCATCGAGTGACGGGGAAAAGGAGATAAAAGTAACAAAAAATATTTGATGTCAATAAAATTCGTTATCAAACATGTGGATATTGTTAAATGCAAAATCAGCTTCAACCAAAAATATTATTGAAATCTACGAGACCGTTGTTGGAAGCAAAAGAATACACGCTGGTCAAGTAACAAAAATGACGCTTTGCAAAACGAAAAGTCTTGATCGACGAGTTAAATGAGAAATTTACAGTGATGAAACATTTTCAAGAGAATAGCATACGGTGGGAAGCGAAATCGACTCCATAAATAACCATCTGTCGTTATTTTGCCATGTGACGTAACGTAAATAGGAAGCTTGCGTGCATTCTGGACATGCACTAACGATTAAAGGGAGACTATTTGCGGGGAGGTAACTCCGTCTGACAATAATAATCATGTTCACTGCGATGAAAATATCACTTTTCTCAACATCAGTTTCAAAACTCAGTCTTTCACACTCAGGTATATACTCACTGCTATCTCCAAGCAGCCACGCATGCGTGAATATACATTTCTCCCTCATCAGAAAACTTGAAGCTATTTGCTGTGAACACAGTAAGGAGAGAGCGATAATGTTTCTGAAATCGCGATTTGAAATATTTGTCCATGGAAGTCACACTTGAAGCGATAACTCGGGCAAATAGTTCTCGTTTGAGATCGTATTACAAAAATAGGGTATTGTTTTCACCCTAAAAACTCAAATAGGCAATTGGAGAATGTTGCATGGGGTCTTTAAACAACAAATATTACATAAACTGTTCCATTTCACACAGTTCACTCGGTGTGGTGAGAATATATATCACTGATAACATGTGTTTATCTCAAATGACGATTCTCACTCAAAGCGCAGAATGAGGTGACCTTTATTCGAACTGTTTACAACAACAGCTGGTAGAAAACAACATGTACACATCATATACACAAAATAAGTAAACAATGTACCAATTAATTGTTTACACTCTGGACATATGTTACATCAGTACGGAATTCGCAGCTATCAAGGACATACCATTTGTTCAGATATATTTACGAGCACAATAACTTTTAATTTGATATATAACGATATTAACATGTTTGAGTATTTAATTTAGTTTGATTTACAATGTTTATATTAAAAATCGATTTATAAAGGTTCGTTATTCCTTTATGATTTCACGCATCACAAAATCGGAAATGCGTGTCGTTAATTTTCCTATCCAAGCTTTAGTTCGCGATCAGGGGACGAGTTTGTGTTATTTGAACAATCTACAAATCTATGTCTTACACATGAGACGTTACATCATATAAGACAATTTTAAGAGCTCACATGTCTTCTTTTTGGAAAAGATGCTTCCTTTCCCATTCAGTCACAAACAACAACAACAACAACAACACACAACGTATATTTATAGACACATTCTATGTGTGAGCTGACCGATTTTCTTTCAACAAGGATATTAACATCATACAGCGGGTAATATGACGACATAGCTACCAGCTTTCTGATTGGTCGAATCCGAACACACCTCTCTTTAGGTCAGAGTTGAAGGTGACAAATCTGACATATCATTTGAGTCCAACAGCTGATGGAAAATGGCCTGTCGCCGGTGGCTGGGGTCGGCGTTAATACCCGCCGATCGGTGGGTCAACAGTCCACCAGTTATAGGATTGTTTCAGTTAGGCAAATGTGTGACCCAGAGGCGACTGATACACAAACAGGTATGGCGGAAGAACGTATTTCCATTGTTACGCATGAATTTGAAGTTGACCTATGTTTTCGCGAATTCTCTGTCACTGCCATTCTCGTCGGCAATATCCTAATATCACTTGTGCTAAGGAAGAGGCACCAATTTACCATTTTAGTAACTGAAATTATGATATTTGGTCGAAAACGTGTTCAACTGTGTAATTTGGGAATGAATGGCTCTGGCACTGGTGCAGAATGGAAATAGTCTTTGTTTTACTTGCTACACCGGTACAAAGGCACTAAAGATTACAACGACTGGAATCAATATCGGCGTAGGTAGTATATTGACAGTTATATTCCAGCTATATTTAGTGTGATAGTGACAATGTGTATATTGTGAAATATAATGCCAAACCAGAACACATAATTTGAAGTCTATCAATCAGTCATTGTGTTCGTATCAATATAGTCCCCGAAACTGACCAGTTCTAGCAGGACAACTTTTGATTGATTAATTCGATCAACAGCTGATAATAATCTCGACATCCATTACCATAGTTATGAAGGTGTGAAGAAAAACTGATGGGTATCAAACTGTTAATATTTTATACTTTGTAACATCTGGCTACAAACATTTGTAACTCAAATTGCACTGAGAATAAACCGTATTCGACATAATAAGCGCCCAGGGCGCTCCCAAAACTAGAAATAGGGGACTCCTATTAGAATATTATTTTGGTGAAAAAAACAGAGTTGAAAGATCGTAAATTTTGTGGTTTATGCTGACCGCCTGAAATGTTTATATACGACAGACATATTTTTCCAGGATTTAATTGCCCATGATTAAGGGTGCATATAGCACATGAGTATGTATTATACACAAATAAATAAGTCTTTTGTACATTGATCAATTGGAAGGGGTGCTAATTGAGATTGTTCACTAGCCAATATGTTAGCAAATATCACTGTGGGCGCTTTTTAGAACGAGACGGTTACTATATGAATATGATAGTTATCAATGAGGAAGGAGACCACAGATTAGTGTGTTATGTCATCTAACCTGTTCTGCTTTTGTGTAGTTTTGTGCAGTGCTACATCCCTACGGAAGGGGATGATTTTACCATAGTAACAAACCATCTTCTTGTCTTGATTTTACTCTATTTTAAATTTAAAGTTTATATGGTATTTATTTCATCAACATGATAAGACTGGCTTTATTTTTGCATTGCTCCTGTAAAGTTGGTCCCAATCATGACAAGGCTGTGAAAATCAATTTGTGACCCATGTCTACAAGGGCATGACAATGCTTTGATACAGGAATGGCTCTGGTGTGTCCCGTAATGGGATGTCCTCAGATCATTGTTTAGTGGTAGAGAGAACTAAGATCTGACTTTAATGATATTGGACTAAACTTGACTCTCCTTCGATATTCATGTCTTGCAGTGACATATTTCACGTTATTTATGTTATGAGGGGATTCCAAATTGAAAAGCAGGGGTTAACCAAAAAATCGGTTCGCATGGAAATGAATTGTGAAACCATTAAATGACCACACAAGATCAATGAAAAATCAATATAATATGTTGAAACACACAGTTTTAGGTTTATAATATAAAAGGTAATGTAATGGGTTCAAAAAATTAAAAGTGGACTTATGAATGTCCAGGATCGTGTCGGTGTTGAATGTCCTGAAAGAGGAACGCCTCCGTGCTTGAATCCAGAACAATAGTGTTGGAAGCAGACAGGAATTTGGTGTTTCCAGATAGGTTTCCAATCTGCACTTGGCGAGTAGAAACAAGTCAAAAAAGGAAAAAAAGGCCTTAAACCGCCCTTGAATCCCCTTTGAATCCCCCTTGTGTTGCTGTTATATAGGTACAGCAAGCCTTCTAGAAACTATCCCATCCAGAAACTTCTCGAATGATCGATCCTGCCATGTTCATGCAAACAAGCAGGGGCAGATAACTCTAATTAAAGCACAAAACCATTCTGGAAAGCTCCTCTCACTGCTGTTGACTGATGTTCAAGACCGTCCATGACCATGATGACAGCATCTTAATATTCTTTACTAGTACATTGTAGTTCAATTCTTTATACTGCCCCTGACAATTACTAAAAATAGATTTACAACAGTTTCTACTGCCTAGGGCTGGTAACTTGGGTACTTGGGTCGGGTGGGTCCTGGGTATGACCTGGGTACCCACAGGACAACCCAGACCCGTGGTTAGTCACATGATACATTGTTTATTGATAATTACAGGCAAACTCCATGGTTGTGTAGTGACCATAAAATTTCCGAGTCCTGTGATGGGATTCGAACCACGGACCTTCAGGTCGGACGCCTTGTCCACATGACCAAAGAGGTTAACCCCGTCAGCAAGCTGACAAGGTAAGGATGTCATCTGTAGGATGACTCCACGCCCTGCTACATACTCCTCCGTCAACAGAAGGCACGTCCCGGGCCGCATAGTAGGGTACTGAGGCTTATTTTGTTCAAATTTAATATGAACATGCTCAGCCACACGTTGGGCGCCAATGTAGCGGCCATAAAATTTCCGAGTCCTGTGATGGGATTCGAACCACAGACCTTCAGGTCGGATGCCTTGTCCACATGACCAAAGAGGTTAACCCCATCAGCAAGCTGACAAGGTAAGGATGTCATCTGTGGGATGACTCCACGCCCTGCTACAGTTACACAATGCGTCGCTAAATGTTCGCATTTCTTTCTGACCATGCATGCATTCCTTCTGACTTTTATTTGTTTGAGTAAAGATATACTGCCAATCAGATCGTTTTATGTGTGCATCTAAGCAGCTTTTACTAGGACTACGGTAAAACTGAGACCTACAGTGGATACCCGGTAGGGTTGGGTAATAGGGTACCCAGGTAGTACATTTGGACTCATCTCAGCCCTACTAGTGCCACAGAATGTTTGAATGATATTACGATAACCACTCAGCAATGGAATGTTGCTCACCCTAAAAAGTCGTTTAACCAAGACATTGTGTGTTCAGGGGAAACGAAAGAGGCCAACAACCAAAGGAGGTAGTGGTTTGACTAGTTTTGTCACAGGAACTTTCTCACATGTCAAGGGATCACAGGTGACCCAGTCATCTAAGGCACCGCAATTATGATGTTCAATGAATATTAGTACAAAACACCTCTTGCTTCATAGAGGAGCTTCAGTTGTCTGGGTCCAGTTCACAATAATTACTAAACTTGTATTTTGAAACTGTGTGTATACTTTCCTGCCTTGTTTCCTTATGACAAGTCCAGGTGATGGACAAATAGGTGAAGGAGATACAACGTAGTCGGAATAACGCCCTGTGCAGCAGCAGGTGCCATGGTAACCTTAACTGTAGAAATAAATAAATTGAAACTGAACATGTTGCTGTGTTTAATTGTTTAAACATGTTTAATGTCTAAAAAAGCAGAAATAAAATTTGTGCAATAAACAATCTTTTTGTGTGTAGTTTACAGTTCATATTTCAGTCATTTGATAAAATAACACATATTTCATTCATTTTACCAAATTATTACTTATATCAATATGTGACAGAACATGAAATGATGTTAAAATGATACTGATTAAATTTACATTGTGGCAACATCAGAACATAAAAAATATGAAACTTTAGATTAAAGTGATTCTGTGCATAAAATTATTTTGTATGAAGATTAAAAAAAAGAGTAACTTACATTATATTCTGTTTGATTTATTATTTGATGAACAGGAAGTAGTAGTAGAAGTAGATATTGTCAGTTCTCATTGAAGGAGTGTGTGAGTTGTGTATTAATGAAGGTTGGTTGGTTGGTTTGTTGTTTAACGCCGCACTCAGCAATATTCCAGCCATAATCGAATCTGGACCAGAAAATCCAGTGATTAATATCATGCATCAAATAAGTCAGCGAGCCTGACCACCCGATCCTGTTAGTCGCCTTTTACGACAAGCATAGTCGCCTTTTAGGGCAAGCATGGGTTGCTGAAGATCTATTTTACCCCGGATCTTCATGGGTCTTTTTAATGAATGGTAGAGGGGGTGTGGGGTGTGGGTGTGGGTGTGGGTGGGGTGGGGGTGTGTGGGGGTGGGGGTGGTGGATAGGGGGTGTGCAGGGGGTGGTGAGGGGTGGGGTGTGGGGGGGGGGGGGGGGGGTGTGTGTGTGGTGAGGAGACCGGTCATCTCTTATTTTGACCTACCCAAACTAATTGGTAATCAAAACCAGTAACCATCCATTATAAGCTGTGTGGCCTGAACTTTGTTTCAGAGAGAAACTAGGTAACTTAGTGGATTTTCTGGTGACATTTTTGCTACTTGCAACCACTAAATTCCAACCTCGTTATGTAACAATATGAAAAACACTTATAAATACTTTATCTGGGGTGCACAATGCTCTTATGCTACACACGTTTGACTTTAAGTCGCTCTCTCGATGGAGGAGGCCACTATCTCTATGAAGAAAATATTGCAAAGGCAGCAAATCTATAATTCTAACATTTTTTAGTTTTTGTGACAGTTTTGAGCTGTCAACTTACAGCCATTTTAAAAATAAATATATATAGTAAATACATAATTTTAATTGCATCAGATTTGACATACTTTCAGCTTAACAATTCCAGTATAGAGTGGCTTGCCCTCCGTGACCTGTTGGGTGTAGCTTCACCCACTTCAGGCTTAGATTGGGTGACATCACACATAGATGTATGTCATCCTGAGTGGGGCAATGTTACCTTATGATTTAATGTTGATATATGTTGAATTATTTCAGTCCATTATTGGATGGTAGAGGATTAATAAGGGTAGAGATAGCAGTATCAACTTGCTACTTTGTGTAGTTAGACAGTATTATCCTTCATGACATGGTTTCAATGTCATTGCTCACTTCAGCATGTTTATTCTAGCAAATACATGTACGGATCCATGCAGCCTTGACTCGTGAAGATCCGGGGTAGTGTAGGTCTTCAGCAACCCATGCTTGCCATAAAAGGCGACTATGCTTGTTGTAAGAGGCGACTAACGGGATCGGGTGGTCAGGC